GGTTTAAGGCCAAGCCCAGTGGAGGTTCCCGTTGAACCCGGGCCTCGGATAGGCACTTATTTAATATATATATATATTAAACTGCTTTTTATTATAATAAAGCAGTTTTTTATTCCGAATAAAAAGCGCGCTTTTTATTATAATATAACTACCTATATATAAAGGCGCCTAAGGGTTATATAATATAAATAATTAAGCTAAATTAGGTTAATTTTTCCCCTATTCCTTTACTTTCTAACCTATCTTAGACTTTAAATTTTCCTATAATTATCTCCTCTCTATTAGAGGCGGGTTAATAAGTAAACTCGCTAATAATAGCATTAACTTCTAGACTTAATATATAATAGATTTCTATATATATATCTTCGAGAGTAAGCTAGCTATCTTCTATTAAATCTTCCTAGCTAATTACTATAGAATTAACCTTATTATAATAATTAAGAGGTTAATTCTAAGACTATATTATCCTCTCTAATACCTATTTATTTATATAGATAAAGGCTAACTTATTAATATTAGCTAATATAAGCCTATTGCGTGCCTTATTATAGAGGAAATTAACCGCTAAGAATAATCTCTCTAAGGGAACTAAATTAGCTATAGTTCTAAAGATTTAGACTATAAGTATAGCTAGCTTATTGCCTTAGTTATTAAGAAATATCTAAGTATCTAATAGTATTTATTCTTTTAAATAGATTAAGCCCCTAGTAATAAATTAGCCCCCTAATTATACTTAGAAGTAATTAAATTCTTAAATAATATAAAGGTAATTAATAGGATTAATTATTAACTTAAAGAATTATAATATTTTTATTATTTATTATTCTTTAAGCTTAGTCCTAATTATATTAGGCTATAATATAAATCCCGCATAATAAATATTATATATCTATTTATCTATATAATTTAATTATATAGAATATAGGTCGCTAAAATTTATATCTTAATATTACTAAGAATTATTAAGTATTTTTTATTTTACTTTAATCTCTAGCTAATAAGGAATTATATAGCTAATATAAGCCCGATTAGCTTCTAAGGTATATTAATAACTATTAATAGGCTTAATTATAGCTAAAATAATCTCTAGGCATATCTAAAAGTAAGGGTTATTAATAGACTTTAGTACCTTTAGAAGAAGCTCGAGAGAGCTAAAAGCTAGCTCTACCCTTATATTAGGATAGCAAGTATATATTTAGAGAGGCTCTTTATAGCATAAAACTAACTATAAAGTATTAAATTAACTACCCTAGTATATAATTATATTAAAGCGAGTAGTTAATTATAGCTAGGAGTTAGAAAAACTAAAAGACCTATATAGATAAAAATGCCTTATAGTAGCCCTAAGTAGCCTTTTATACTTCTCTTAATCGAGCTAATTATAGTTTTACTTTCTTAAAGAAAGTAATAATTAATATAGCATTTTTAAATACCTCCTTAAAGAATAATAGCTCTAAGATATCCTTAATAAAAAGCTATAACTTATATAAATCGCAGAGGGAAAAAAAGTAATATTAGAATTCCTTTCTTATTACTAAATATATATAAGCTTTCCTTATTATATTATCTATATCTATATAAAATAAGTTAATTTATAAGAAATTACTTTTATAAATTATCTCTAGCTTAGGATATAAAAGATTAATATAGTACTTAGCTATATATTAAATCTATCCTATATTAAATATCTTTTAATAGAATATTAGATTATTTATTACCTATATTAAGGTATTAATAATTCGATAATTTATAATATTATCTAAGGCATTAAAGATTATATTAATATATTTTATTTAATTAAAGATAGCCTAGATTTAACTATAATACTAAGAATAAATTAAGGCTAATAGCCGCTATACTTAGTAATAAGATAATAATTACTAGGTAATATTTAACTTACTTAATAGAATCTATATTTATTTAGACTTAAAGAGGTTAAATAGATAGCTATTAGTAAAAATTATTATAATAATAAGCTTATTAAGTATTTACTTAAAGGTCTTATTTACTATAAGAAAGTAATAAGTAAATTAAGGCTATTAAGATTATTATTACCTTTTATAATTAAGATAATAGCGAAATAAGTATTTCTTTTAATAAATAATACCCTTAATCATCTTATAGCTATATTACTTATATTTAACTTAAGAGTTCTTAAAACCTAAATTAATATTAGAGGTAAATATAATAAATTCTTAGTAGACCTAGTAGTTAGCTAGCTTTCTAGGGGTTCTAAGTATTATAGAAGATATATAGAGGGTCTAAAGGTAATAGGGAGTTAAATTAAGAAGTTTTAGGGGGATATATCGATAGATAGTTAAAGGCTATAGAGAAAAGGAGGTCGGGAAAGGATTTATATTATTCCTATGTATTAACCTTATTATAGAAGGCGCTAATCCTAATATAGAAGGGGAAATAATATATATAAAGTGCGTCTTACTTTAAATATTTATTAGATTGCGTCCCGCATATTCGATCAGAGTGATCGGGATTAATACGATATCGAGCCAAAAGATGATCATATTCTTGATCAAGGATGCCTCCGGCCCCCTCTTTTCTCGAGAGGGGTTTTATGTCATCTGACTAAGGCTAGGATATCTTTGTATCAGAGGTTTATGCCGCCACACGAGGGTCAATCCAACAATATTTAATGCAAAAAGCGCATTTTATGTAATGATGCAGCATTCAATCCATCCCTAGCGGACACGACTGGTCGGATGACCTAAGGAGCGAGTGACTAAGAGAAAGCCGTAACGAATTATTTCTTGGGACGGTGATGGGTGCGGTGCGGTCGGTTTGAGAAATCCAATGGCAAAGAGGCGATTGAGTCGAGTGTGGATGTATTCGGGCGAGTTGTCGGCGGTGACGGTCGGACGGAATGGCCACTTGGAGCCTATCAAGTTCATCCTGCGAAATAGCAGAAGCAGGGCGTGGTTTGACGGAGCTATTGCTGTCTGAGGAATGCATAGTGCCTGAAGAAGTCTGTAATATGCGTGGTATTTTCGTAGGGGTCTGGTCGGTGGAAGGGCTTGCTCGTTTCGCCGGCGTTCTTCTCTAGTAAAGTGGAGCGGAGGCGGGAGGTATGGGAGGGATAAGAGGGTGATGCGTTGCTCGCTTCGGTGCAGGTGTAAACTTGGCCATGACTTCGTCGAAGGGAAGATGGGCGTTTCGGCCGTGTGCTTAGCGACGGGGTGGCTGAGGTCGAGCCGAGGGTGGGCCTTGTCTCGAACAACAAAGGCACAGTCCTGTTTAAGGTTTGGCGGTTGCACCGCAATGCGGTGGTCAAGCAAGCGGGGGACTTTGCCTGTGCAGGTCAATAGAGTATCAGCCTGGGACTAAGTGTCCTGTCTACCGTTGCGCTGAAACTATAATGAAGCCGATTGGAATGAACCGTCTTAACCTCGCACATTTTTGTGCCTATATTACTATCAGACAATTGGCTCCATAGGGATCATCGATGGCACCAGTCAATTAATGAGAATTATCTAAGGAGTAATTATACTATACAAAAGAGAAAGATATTATTATCTTATATAGAAGACGGAAATCCATATAGAATAGAAATTCCGAGTGGAATTCCGGAAATAATCTGGTGGGCTATGCCGTGTGTGCGATAGGCTGATATGCGATATATTCCTTATAGTATAGGCGATATTCTCGCCGGCGTGAGACCCGATCTGCCTCCTGAAAGCCAGTAGCTGGCTTTAGTATAAGTTGCTCTGATTAATATAGTAAGCAAAGATCGAAATGAAAGCTAGTCTATTTAGAGAGGTCTAGAGATCGAAGCTAATATATACCTAGGTAATAGCCTTATTAAGTTTCTCCTTAATAGCCGCTTTCTTTAAAGAGAGTATATTCTCTAGGTCTTTCTTAGCTATAGTTTAACCCTAGGGCACCTAGATATAAAGATTAGGGTCTAGCTAATAGAATAGCTCTTATAGGTAGGTATTCTTAAAGGTAGTAAAGGGGAGATTAGAATTAATAATATAGCTAACTAAGAGCTCTCTAATCTATGCTATTTTCGCTCGGGGAAAAATAAAGGAAGAAAGAGCTAGCTATTTCTTAGATATACTTCTTTAAAGATCGAGGACTAATAAATTATTAGATAAACCTAGTTCGAAGGTCTCGGTGATTCTATAAGCTTTAAAATTATTAGTAATACCTAGGATAAGAGAAAGACCGCTAATTTATAAAGATAGGCTTATACCGAAGATATCGATTAAGTATTAAAAAATCATAGTATGCCCTTATTATTATAGAGCCGGTAATATTAGATATCCCCGCTAGATATATTATCTCTCCTTAATTCTACTAGGAACTAGCTATAGTTTCCGATTTAGCTTTACTAGCCCTTACTCTTCCTCCTATCTAAGAGGCTTATAATAATAAAATATTATTAGCCCTAAGTAATCTTATAAAGGTTATTAATAGAAGAATTAGTAGTTGAGGCTAAAGCTAAAGCTATATTATATTACTTAGTGATACTCTTAGGCCGGGATCTAAGATAAGGAAATATAGGTAGTAGCGATAATTGTTATGGATCCCTTAGCTCTGGTAAGGGATAGAGGTACCGCTGAAAGCGGCAGTGAGATAGCTGACTTTGGCAGCTATCTGGTTGAAGTCATATAATTCATAAAGTATAGAGAGCAAAGAAGGCACAATGTAAGTAATCTAATCTAAGTTGATTCTTCCTAACTAATGGCTGCTGGATTTGACTGTTATAGCGCTAGATCCGTCACGTGGGGAACCCGTATGACTGGGGCATGTAACAAGTGCCGGGGTCCCCGAAAGCTCTGCTGTCCCAGCAGAGTCCGAATCTACGCTCTCCCATCCTTCCTTCGTCAAGTCCAGCAGTAAAACAAAAATCCGTTTTCTCCCTATTTACATTCTGGTTATTCCCTGAACTCCATGCTTCCGTCCGTCCTTCCGTCGAAATCATCCTTCTGCCTGATCCTTCCATTCTTTCCCTTGGCCCTCACCAAAAACAATCCATCTCCGCTTCACTCGTCGTCGAAAAAGTTCTGGTCCCAGCCAATCTCGTCCCCGTTGGATGCGCCAGTCTTGCCGGTGGACTTAGCGGGTCCGGGAGCGCGCTTCTTAGCGGGTTTGGCGACCTGCTGGAGAAAAGCGTTGGCCTTCGAGATGCCTCCGCGGGCGGCGGTGCTGCTGCGGGCGGCCGGGTTTCGTACTGCCGGATTGGCCCGCTTCTCGGTGGTCGGATCGACCAAGACGGGGGTTACCTTCGGCTTGCGGACAGCCGGAGCCGGCTGCCAGACCGCCAGCTACTTCTTCACCTCTGCGACCACGATCTTCTCCATCTGGGCGTTGAACTCCTTGAGGTTCTTATTGTACTCGTCGACCGCATCCTTCGTGGCCTCACAGGCGGTAATTCGGATCGCCTGGTTGCCGATTTCGTCGTGATAGTAGTCGGATTCCCGTCGCAACTTCGAGACCTTCTTCACGATTTGCTTCTGCTCGCCGTCCATCTGTCGCACCTTATTGACCAGCTGATCGCGGAGTTTGTTCACATTGGCCTTGATTTCGTCGACCTCCTTCGATGTGGCGATCGAGGTGGCGGCGGCATTCGCGGCGACTGCGGACATGTTGTCGTCGACTCTAGCCTGCTTGCCGCTGACTCCGGTGGCGGGGCGTCCCCCGATCTGGATCATCCAGCCGCGTTGCATGGTTGCGAGGTGTCCGGCGATGGTTCCGTTGGTGGCACCGTAGGGATCGACGAAACGTGGGAGCATGAGTTCGGCCTGATCGGGTAGATAGTCGGTCCACCACTTCTTGTTGCCCCGACTCTCGCCGTATCCACCGTTCATATAGGCCTTTGCAGCGTCTCGAACGCGGTTCTTAGTCTTGCGCACCACGTTGGATTCACCCTTGGTCTTGTCGCGCTTAGTTCCGGCAGTCTCCTTCCCCTTTCCGGTCACGGGGGTCGCAATCTTGCCGTTGCCAGCAACGAGAGTGTCGTCATCGGCCATCTCCTCGTCGAGTTCGCCGCTTTCTATGCCGTCGTAGTACTCGTTGATCAGTCGTTCGACACGGAGGAAAAGATCCCACTCCGGATAGTCGCCATCGGGCCGGGAGCAGTCGAAGTCGGGCTGCTCTCCTGCGGTATGCTCCAGGCTACACAGCCAGAATTCGACGTGGAGGCACTGGAGGGCGTCCGTTCGGGTCCAGACCTTCTTCGTGGCGGATCCTCTGACCGGCCCGTCGAATCTATAGTCAGCGTAGGTACCGCTGAAACTATCGTCCTCATCGTTGCTACCGGTGATGCGACTGTTCATCAGCTTGTCGATATGCTCCTGGTATCGGCGGTGAGCTGCTCCTCCGGAACTGCCTGGGGCGCTGCTAGGAAGCAGGTATCTGCCGCCGAATTTACGCGGGCGAACTGGCTCAATCTCCTCGAGGTCCGACTCATGGTCGGAATCGTCGTCGCTCGAGCTAATATCCATATCCTTCCGGCCAGGATTGGCATTATCGTTGTCAAAGAGGTCATCGAAAGCAGGCGTATTATCGTCGGTGACGTCGCCATTATCGCCTTCAACGTTGCTCTGCATAGTCTCATCCTGTTCGGGGCGGACTCCGCCTATATCGGCAGTGGGAGTGCCGATTCTCTCCTCAGTGCGAGTGCTATCATCGTCAATGGCTGGAGTCGCCATCGTGAATTGATGAGTTCAGCGGCGGCCTGTCGTTTTCGCTGGGTGTGATTTGTCGGTTTGGTTGGTTTTGGCGGCGGGCGTGTGGGTTCGCCGGCGGCTAGTTGGTTCTGACCTTGCTTGTGCTGTGGGGTCTGTGTTGGTGTGGTGCGAGGTAGAAGATCGGGTGAAATTTTAGCGGGGTCGTAGGGGTTTATATGCTTTGATCCCTGCGGTGAATTCGACCGTGTTCGTGTGTGAATTTCGGCTTGTTTTTGCTTGTTTTTGGCATTGGGTTCTGTCCTCGTTTCGTGCTATGTGTTCGTGGTTTGTTCCGTCGTGTTGAGGCTGAATTCGCGTGCCTACTTGCTGGAAAGGAGTCTAATGAACTCCGGGCTTCTGCTGTGACATCCCTCGATTCCGGGATTCATCCTAAACATCAGTGTTTTTAGAAAGGGAGGTATTAATATCGCTAGAAAAAGGTGTTCCCTGATAAATGCGAGACATATGAAAAGTGGTTAACAAATGAAATAGTGTTCCGGGTCTTCGGTTGCGTATTCCTCCCGGTTCATCGCCGTTTTAGGCGGTGCTCGTTCCTTGTTCATCCTCCGGTTTAAAGGATTTAGGCATACTTTTCTTTTTCTTTTTAAATTCGAGGCCCCAGTCCACCGGATTCGCTCTCTTCCATGCTTCTACCATGCTCCTCGCTATGTTTCGGAGCTCGGGTTCAGCTATCCAGTTGTCGTCTTTGGCCGTAAAGCCGACCCATCTCACCAGTAAGTCCCTATATGGCATCTTATTCTTCCAGCGGATTCGTTGCTGCACGATTCTTTCCACTTCCCAGTGGTCCGCGACCTCCTCGTCGTCGATTGCAATGGGAGCCGGTGGTGGAATCGTTCGTTGGTATGGGTCCTCTCCCTGTGCTGGCTTCCACAGATAGGCGACCGAAACAACCGGGTGGACTTTCCAGTACTCTAGGAAGTCGAGCTTGAATGCCTGCTATCCGATCTTGCGGATGACCTTATAGGGTCCGGCCCTCGTGGGTGACCATTTCCTCTTGGGTTTCCCTGGTAGGTAATAGCCCTTGTGGAGTCGCAGGTAGACTATATCACCTTCGTCGATGTTGATTTCCTCATGCTTCGCGTCGTACCTAATCTTAGCTAGCGATGCTGAGGTATCAATAAGAAATTCCGCCTCCTTATAGTAGATCTTGCGCAGCGCCTCCAATGCTTGCGCGTCTACTTCCTCATCCTCGATTCCGGATGTGGCTGCGAGGTCGAGGATTCCGCGTAGGCGGAACCCATAAATCAGTTCATTTGGTGCTCTCCCGATAGTGTTTGATACTGCGTTGTTGAGGTTATGCTGCAGCGATGGGAGCAGAGCCGGCCACGGCGTGTCCGGATCCGTTGCGGTATGGTACCGAATCGCAGTTTCGACCGTCTGGTTCTTTCTTTCTGAGATCCCATCGGTCTGGGGGTGATACGCGGCCGACATGAGGAAGTCAACTCTGAGGAAGCCAAAGACGGCTCTCCAGATCTGGGATATGAACTTCGGGTCCCTATCGCTGATGATCCGTACGGGGACTCCCCAATCCAGTAGGAATAACATCCGGATGAGCACCTTCGCCCAGTCTTCTGCCGTATATGACGTATGCCCTGCCAGGAGTATTGTCCTTTTCGAGAACACGCAGTTAACGGGGGCCAGGCAGTCGAGTTTATCGTGCCCTTCGACGAACCACATTGTCCCTGCTGCGGTTACCTCCGGCAGGTCTGTAATGAAGTCGAGGGCGATCGTGTGGAAAGGTCGTGGTACTACCGCAATCGACTATAGTTCCCCCTGAGTCGGCTTCCGACTTGTCGAATTCTCGTGACATACTAGGCAGTGGGCCACGTAGTTGCGTATTGTTTTCGACATTCGGTAGAAGTAAACCGGGTCTAACTCTTAAGTCATGCGGTTAATTCCGAAGTGGTGCTTGTTGTCGTGGACGATTTCGAGGATGCTTTTGACCAAGGGTCGTGGGATGCAGAGTCTCCGTTTTCCTTCGTATCCGACGTGGTATAGGAGTTCATCGGAGAGTTCCCATGGCCGGAAGGGTATCGTCTTTGGTCGTCGGTTCTGGCGGTCCGCGTTCTGGATTTCCTTGATATAATCCCGTATCCGACCTAGCTTCGAGTCCTTGCTATAGCCCTCGATTACTTGTTGACGAAACTCCGGTGTGATCCCAATTTGCATTGTTTCCACTTCTGCCAAAGCCACCACGAAGTCCAGCTCGTCGAAGTTGCTTTCGGTGGCTCGTCTTACTAGTCGGTCTTCGACGGGTAGGCGGGAGAGTGCGTCTAGGATCACGTTAAGTACGCCCGGCACGTAGAATATCCTCAGCTCGAATTGGGAGAGGTAGTTGGCCGCCTTGACCAACTTCGGGTTGGCTTTGTTGAAATCGACGGTCTTCAGAGAGGTATAGGTGATAATACCTTTGGTTGCAGCGTGGTCGGTGATGATATTTACTGGGTGCCTGCTTGATTGCACTAGCTTTCCCATCTTTCGTACTGCCCATGCCAACGCTGCGACTTCGGCTTCTGTCGATCCGTATCTGGCCTCTACCGCGGAGGTTAGGCGCGAGAAGAACCCGATGGGTTTCAGCTTCTCGCTTAGAATATCCTTCCCAGGAATTGAGCTTCTATCCCATTCCCCGTCGATCTAAAAGACGAACAGGCCAAAGCCGTTCTTACACGCGTCGATTTTAAAGAAAAGCGGTTTTGTTGGATCATGGTGCCATAGGGTGAATTGTTCTGTCAGGAATTGCTGCATCTCGTCGAAAGCGTTTCGTTCCTTCTCCGTAGGCGTGAATGCGATGGCTAATACTTTCAACCTGCGGACTAGTTTTGACGCTCCGGTCGGCAATTTCGAGGCGGCTTTAGCTTCGCGCAGCAGCTGCGACTTCCGATCGAGTAAGGGGCGCATTCGCACGTCGTACCATAGAATTCCTTTTCGGAGGTATCCGGCCATCCCAATATAGGTTTCGAGAGCGGCCAGGTCGGTTAGGCATACCATTTTTGCGAAAGCATCGAGTCGGTCTTGAGTTCGGTGTAGCCCGTCGCCGTCGACTACGTATCCGAGCAGCTTGACCGCGTTGTATCCTATGAAGGATTTATCGGCGGCGATCTTCAACCGATTCTCGTCGAGTAGCTTCAATACCACTTCCAGATACTCGAGGTGCTCCTCGAAAGTGTCGGAAAAGACTACTATATCGTCGATATAGACGCGCACAAAGGCGCGATATTGGAGGAACATCCCGTCCATGAACCGTTGGCCAAAAGCCGGTGAGTTCTTAAATCCCATTAGGGCCACGTTGGAAACTTCCAACCCACGGTTAGATATAACCACCATTCGATTGCGGTGCGCATTATAGATAGGCAGCTGATAGAAAAATCCGGTCCCATCGAACATCGAAAAGTACTTCTTCCCTCTCGTATCCGCCACGATATCCTCCTGATCCGGCAGTGGGTACACATCGGGCACCGTGATGCTATTCAGGGGTCGCAGGTCAACCACGACTCTGCCCTTCTTCTTGCCATCTACGGTTCTCCAGACGACGAAAGCAGGGCAGGCGATGGGTGTTAGTTCGTCCAGGTGATGCATTTTTCCCGCTGCGTATAGCTTCCCGTGGACTTCGTCTAGGAACCGGCGGTCTTCGACCCCCATTGGGTAGGCTCTGACGGTCCTCTTCTGGTTCTGCCATCCGTCGACGAGGTCGATTCTCATTTTCTTTTCCTCAGGCATGGGGACGACGCCTTTGTCCCTGTAGATATCGTATTTGTTCGTCAACTCCATGAACTTCGCGGCCTTCTTTTCGTCGAGGTTGGCTACCTTGACTCCGAACCTATTCTGTACCGAGGGAATGCCTTCAGGGCGGCTAATCCCGTAATTGGGTAGTCCGGCATCGACACGGATTGGGTCGTCTTTGTCGATTATCTCTTCCAATTCGGTCATTATCATCGGTAGCGTGCCGGTTGCGAGCACGTTCTCGACTTCCTCCCCTGGTCTGAAATCCTTGCCGATTATGCCTGGGAAATCCACCGTTCCGGACCCGCTAGCGATAAAGTTCGCAGTTTCGTTGCCTTCATAGTTGCTAATATGACCTATGAGTTGCCTCCGACGGATCCGAATATCTTTTCCGTCGGTGTTGTGGAAGATAACCATCCTCGGGGTGCTTCTATCGATTGTGCTGTCGAAAAAGCGTTTATCCTTCCCTTGGAAGTGGAAAGCCTCCTCACTCCCATCTGATCCGTGTGTCGCCGGCAGGTTCTTATAAGTAACCGGGATAAAAGCGGTTTCGCCTTTCTTCACCGTGACTATATAGGCGCTCTTCACCACTCGGTTAAGCGGCGAGATTCTCTTCTTAAAGATCTCCCCTCGGATGATTATGCCATGCGCCGATCTAAAAGAGACGCTAGGGTAGACGAAATCGACTTTGGCTCCGTGCTCGTATAGGAAGCCTATCCCTAGTAGCAAATGGGGCGTGAGTTAGTCGACGACATCGGCGGTGACGGTGAAGTAGGCCTTGACCTCTTTTCCTCATACGGTTCCGGGAAGGTAGAAGTCGAAGGTAGCGGATTTAGTGATGTTTGTAACTCTCCCTATGCCGCTGAGGGTTTTCGGCTCTTAGTTCTTCCAGGTCACCTTTTTGCCGTGCTCCGTGAGCCATGCCTCGTCGACTATAGTAGCCGAGGCTCCGGTATCGCAGCATACTTGGTAGGTCTTGGCTTCTTTTGTTCCTTCGAAGGTGAGGAGGATCCGGAGATGCGTCAAAGCTTTTCCGCCTAACTAGTCACTAAAGTCGGGTCTTCCTATTGCTTCGATGACTTGGCCGTCGTCAATGGCGAAATTGACATGACGCCTTTCTTCTGCCTCTGTTACGAGGTAAGAATCCTCCTCTCTTTCTATGATTTCGGCGTAGTAGGCGGTACTCTCATCGCTTTCGCCAGCTCCTTCCTCGCTCAGGGAGTCTTCGTCGGCGTAGTATGCTCTTTCAGGCTTATCCCGATTCCAGCCTCCGCGGTTCCGGTATCGTCCTTCCCGGCCCTCATTTCGTGGCCTTTGTTGGTCATATCTGGGCTCTCTTCTGCCAAGGTCCTCGTTCCCTTGGTGTTGTCCTTCCCATGGCGGAGTCTCCTTCCACCATTCCGATTTCGTCTCCGGGGTTCTTCCCCTCCGTTCGCTAGGGCGGCCTCGGTCGTCTCCTCGTTCCCAGTTTCTATTTTGGTTCCACCCTCCTCCTTGTCGGTTCGGGTTATCTGGCCTTTAGGGTCGGAGTCGATCATCGTAGGTATTATCGCCGATTTCTCTCGGTCTCCAGCTACGAGGAGGGCGGTTTCGGTCCCTATAGCCTCTGTTCCATGGGCGGTCGTTGCCCCATAGTGCCGAATCCTCGGGTTCGGATCCTTCATCGTCCCTTTCGTTGGTGGTATACGCATGTTTTTCGCCATATTGGAGCTTCTTCGCTCCATTTCCGGTCTTCCCGTTGCGTGCCGCTTTCAACTTTTCGCGCAAGGTCTTCCTCTTACTATCCACCATATTAACGTATTTAGATCGTTCGTCGGATTCCACCGGTGCCCTACAGAGTTGCCGTAGCTCCGGGTATAATTTAGCGTAAAAGCGGGTGAGCAGCTCGAGGTCTGTGGCCTTTCCCACCACTCTGGATACGTCGAAGATTCTTGCGGAGAAATCTCGTAGCGGTCGGTCGCTTTCCACGTCCTTGAGGGTGAAATAGGCTTGGTCTAGCCATTCTAGAGCTTCTTGAAGTTCCATGCCAAATTCGGTTTTCACCGCGTCGAGGAAGGCGCTAATTAATGCGATATAGGTCTGCCTCTCTCGGTCGTCGAGCAGTCTTCGCCACCAGACCAATGCGCTGCCTCTGACGAGTCTCCATGCGTTTTCCTTAATGAAAGCGACTTGCTGAGGGCTGCTTCCTTCGAGGTGGGATTTGACTGAGTCAACCCATAAGTGAGCGTCTATAAAGATTGCCGTAGTCTTATCGTAGAAGATTTCCGCTGGGGGATCTCCGGATTTGCCTCTCGATAGTGCATCTAGCCAGAAGAGGCCAATATCGGTGAGTTTAAATCCGATATTGGCGTTCTTCCCTCCTCCTATGCTCCCCCATTCCTAGTATCCTAGGCCTATTAGGTTCAACCTTGCGGTAGATGACGTGAACGGCTCCATTAGTGGTTCCGTCATCCGTGGCCATCCTGCCCCACTCGGTCGTAGGGGGAGTTGATTTCCTCGGTGAGGCTCCTAATATAGTGGAGTCGAGGCCATAGCGGGATAGGGGGCATATGGCGGCTGGGTTAGATGCGTCGCGTAGAGGGTCGGATGCTGCGCCTAAGAGTATGTTCCATTCCATCCTTGGAATTGCCCTGACGAGTTCTGCCATAGTGGTATCGACGGTGCTAGTGCCGAATATTAGATTCTACTCGTTGGTTCTGGCATCCAGTGCTGCGGGACTGGGTGCTGAGCCGGTTGCTGGGCCGGATGCTGGGCCGGTTGCGGAGGATAGGCTTAGGGTTACATTCCATCGGGACCTGCTTGTACGCCAGCGAGTCCCACATCCTCCAGCTTCAATCCATAGTTTCGCTCGAGGAGGTCGATCATCCGCCTTGCCGTCGGGGATCGCCGGTAAGAGTCTTCTATTTCCAATCTCGTTTCTTCCGGAACCGGCGTTCGCCTCACCGTACTATAGGATCCTTGCGATCCCATTCCGACTAGGTTTAGGGCTCCTATCTGGAATTGAGGTACATGGCCTCCCGCGGTTGGGTCTGACTGGTTCATGCTGGGAACCGGGGGTCGAGCTGTCGGATCCGTAATTTCCGGTGCTTCCGTTCGCGCGCTTAGTTAGTGGACGCGAGGATGGTTCTGACGTCCTAGCGTCGGATTCGGCGAGAGACAGAAGGTCAAAGCGGTGAGGTAGTCAGCGTCAGGGGTGTTAGGACCGAGGCTTTATATCGGGTCTGATAGCGCTGGTCGATTCGGGGTCTTTCGCTTCCCCAGTGCCGTCGACGCTGCTAGTTCCGGTTCTTTTCCTTTTTCCTGCGAAGGATCCGTATTCGATGCCTCAGTTATCGGTCCTGACGGCTCGAGTATCGTATCCGTCGATGAAGCGTAGACTAAGAGTTCGTCGTCGGGTAGCAGCGCTCCTTCGCGTCTGGCTCTCTTAATGATCTTTTTGGCAGTCTCCCAGGCTTATCCGATGGCGTATGGATCCGTGGCGTTCCAGTGATATGGTGGTTATTCTATGCTTGGTGCCACGTCTCTATAGAAGGCGTTGAATTCATCTATTTCCCAGTAGGAGAGCTCAGTTAGGTCTTCGAGTACGCCTAGTTCAGCGAGGAGTCATTTCTTATGTCTGAAGGTTAGGTTCTATAGTAAAAAGACTCAGAATCATCGTAGGTGGTTAAAATCGTTCTTGGTGAATTTCGCTTTTGCTAAAGCCCTTGCGACTATCTGGTAGGAGGCTTGCTCGAATAGGTCCTATTTTGACGAACTCGGGGTCGACATAGAGGTTGTTGGTTTCGTCTGGCCCATTGATGGGGACGAAGGTATTGATCCGTTGTGTTTGTGAATGAAAAGAGTTGAAACTTCCTTCCGGTGCTTCACTTGGTTTCGACGTGGAATATATCGAATGAAGCGTAGGTCGAGTTAAAAGAAGCGTCAACTACTACCATATATTATGGATCCCTTAGCTCTGGTAAGGGATAGAGGTACCGCTAAAAGCGGCAGTGAGATAGCTGACTTTGGCAGCTATCTGGTTGAAGTCATATAATTCATAAAGTATAGAGAGCAAAGAAGGCACAATGTAAGTAATCTAATCTAAGTTGATTCTTCCTAACTAATGGCTGCTGGATTTGACTGTTATAGCGCTAGATCCGTCACGTGGGGAACCCGTATGACTAGGGCATGTAACAATAATAATATACTATTAGTAAGGCTACCGTTTAAAGTAGTCTCGGATATTTTAGACTATAATAAGTAGAAGGTCTAGATAGCTTTAAAATTAAATAGCTAAGATATGTTTTTAATGATCTAAGGGTAGTATATATTTATCTAGCTAAGGCTATACCGTGATAGAGCGAGAGTAGGAAAAAAGGGGGCATTTTCCTTTAGATTTGCCTCCGGCTAGAACCTAGGCAAGCAGGGGTCTAGGACTAATCAGCTCGGCTGACCCCTATAACTATTAAAATGAGCATATTGTGTTGTATTAAAGAAGAAGAAAGATTGGTATTAACCACCTGAAACTATTAACAAGAAGATATCCATATCCTCGCCACCAATAGATCGGAATAGCCATTGATCCGTTAAACAATGGATCTTAATAGTAACACCATTGCTTTTCGGAAAGAGCCTTACTCTCCGGAGTCAGAGCATATAAATAATCCGGCAGTTCTAGGGTAACCGCTCTCTATGTAAGGGATATTAGATATATTAGATATATAGACGCTTATATCTAAATTGATTAATCTAATGAAATTCCATATCTGATTTGAATTGATTGATTTGATTGATATATCTGATTATTGATCTGATCTGACGGCAGCCCTGGTCTGGATACCTCTACTACTAGCCTACTTATCTATTCTGCATTTATGCACTTGTCGGGCCTCTCGGCCCTCCTTACCTACCTTCTGTTTACCGAATTTGCTCGTCGACTTTATGTGTTGGAGACTGTGGTCGGGACTGCTTGGAACTGCCCGAGCATCCCCGTCCTGAGTAGCATCTCTGCTGCTTATACTGCCATTGACGATTTACAGAGAATCTTCTTGATGTCCACGCATGGTTGCTTGCCTGCCCACATCTCTTATCGTTCCTCTATCCAGTTCCTGCATTCGAGCAGGATATATCGTACTATTTGGGGTCCGCGGCCGCACTGACATTAGTCGGCCTCGGCTTTGTTGATGGCGCTTAGATAGGCCCGGAGGCCGATCTTACCGGTACGCATCTGAGTGATCACTAAGCTGATGGCCCGGTGCGTCCCCTAATGCTTATCGAGTGTCGCTTTTCCTAGTCGTACCCCGAGCTTGTATAGTTCTCTGCCGTGCTTAGCTATGCCCCAAGCCATCGTCCACTCGTCTTACATGACCTGACGGACGGTGAGTTTTGTGGTTGCCATTAGGGTTCGTAGTGTGTCGGGTTCGATTTGTGGTCCGCAGCGTGCTCCTGTGACCGCGCCATATCCGGCAGCTTCCTTTGCTGCTTGGTCTGCCGCCTCGTTGCCCGGCACGCCGACATGTGCTGGGATCCAGGGGAACTGTAGCTCCCACCCTTGGCTTCGGAGGTTATCCAGCTCTCGGATGGCCTCCGCCAAGAGATACTGCTCCGACGGGGTCTTGGCTGCTCGAGGAGAGATTCAGAGAAGAACGAGACATCATGGGGGCGGCCAGGGCTCGAGCTGACTCTATCGTGCCTCTCCAAAGTGGATCTCTGACGCGAGAACACATCGCGGCGTGGTTATGGACTCAACACGGCTTCGAGGAACGCATCAGAAGGCGGCGAGAGCGTGGGGGCGTTGATCATGTTAGTGATGAAGCTGATAAAGCCGGAGATTGAGAAGAAAGCAGTTTCAGATGTGAACGTGAGGCGGTTAGGGCGGAAGCGGCAGGGAAAAAAAAAAAAAGAGGCTTGTGGTCAAGGACTCTGTTGAACATATCAAGGTCGGTAATGAGGCATTGAAAACCACCACAATTCAAATGTAAAAAGCAGCTTTTGAGCTAATCCGATTACATAGGTCAATATTTAAGGTATAGGCCGTTATAAAGCTACTCACGAGGCTCGACTATGGGCCCAATCTTATTCGCAACCCAAGCCTCCTTCGCAGCAACTGAACCTAACGCATTCCACACCACAGCATTAGCCAAGTCTTACTGGAACCAACAGATTACACAGATCATTATCGAGAGCTCTTTTTCCTTCGTAACTTCCTCACAGTTACCGATGGCCTTCTCAATATCTACGAGCTGACCGGGCAAGCACAAGAAACCACGTTGTGAGTCCTGCGAGTCTCTTGATGCATCAGAACCTCCTTTACCTAGAAAATCAAGCGCTCAATTGATCCTCTTAGCCCATCAGTACCTACGACAGATTATAAAACGATGTCTCTCTCACAAATTCAATCGAGCACCTTAAGCTGCATATTTCACCCGCCGCTCCAACTTCCAAGTCCTTGCATCCCCCTTCCCGTCCCCTTCCATGCAGTGACAATCAGCAACACGCATAGCTTATAGACGCAATGGCAATTTAGCCCTCCTCCAGCCGCACTTTATGGTGCTTGTCAGGTTGTAGGCCGTTCTTCATCTTTGACATGCCGGAATTTCTGTTTTGTCGTGGTATTGGTTGTCGACGTGGCGAGTCCTTCATGTTTATACGCAATGGCTGAAGGACCCATCCTGGAAGAAAAGAGCGCTCAAGCCGTACGACTCGCAGTTGGCGACAGCCGCACAGTTTGGAGGCACGGGGCAAACAGGCATAGGACAAGTAGGGGCAGGGCATGAAGGTGGAGGGCAAGACGGCGGAGGACAAGATGGCGCAGGACAAGTAGGGGCAGGGCAGATGGGGGCAGGGCAAGACTGAGGAGCAGGCGGGCTGCCACCACCACCACCACCACCACCACCGATACCGCCACGGATAGGGATGGACCAGAGCGGGATAGGTTTGAACAGAGGTAGTGGGATAGGTTTGAAGAAGAAGCCTGAGGCCTGGCTGGCCAGGACGACACCAAGGCTGATAGCAGAGAGCTTCATTGGGAAGGTTGGTTTGAGTGGTTTCTTAAAAATGAACTTTGTCTCTCAGCGTACGTAGTGCTGAAAAAGGAAAAAGGAGTTGAGGGGATTTTGAAAAGTTGTGTATTGGATGGAACTGTGTGTACTCGTGGTACATGGAGCTCGGCGTTGATATATTTATAGAGCTGAGGGTGGTTGAGTCTTGAAGTTGATCAGCTGGGTGCCAAAATAAGGCAGGGGTTGATGAAGCTGCGTAGATGCTTCTTGATTGGCAGTTATGGTCTCTTGGCATCGTATTCGTTTGAGATCACCCGTGCATAACTCAACCCAAGCCAGCTGAGATGTGTTGAGAAAGCCAGCTGAGATGTGTTGAGATGGCCAGCTGAGGCTCCGAGGTCTTGGCGGGACAACCCCCCTTGCGTCACTCAATACCGGAGAATACCGCCGATGAAGTGCATGCTGTGGAGTGGTAAAACTTCACGAATCGTCACGTTGCTACAAGGCGTGTTGGGGGTGGGAAGATTCGCGATGCAAAAGGACGTGAGGCTTGCAGGGCTTTATCCCATTGGCTCTTTAGTCTCCCGAACATGTATTGACCGTATCCGGGTTTAGAATATTTAACTAGCCGAGTCGGAGAGATTCGAGACCGCGGTTGTAAGGAAATCAGCAGGGCTATTTCCCGCACGCCTTGCCCTTTCCCCAATCCTCCGTATCCGGCCCGCGATTGAGGCCTCGGCAAGGGGCGACGGTCCGCAGAACAACTCGATTCTATTCATAGATGGGACCAATCGCGGGCTACGCTACGACGTGCCGCCTCGGCAGAAGCAAGTTGTGTCCATTGGACGGGACGGCAGATATATCCACTTCGCGGGATGTGTAATTACATAGTGGAGCTCTGTGTGTACTTCGCATCGAAGTATCGCACGGGATGAGGCCTGCTATTCATGTCTTAGGCATTAAAGTGGGGTCTCAGCACCGGCACTTGTCCCAGCCACTCAAATCGCATACCCCAGCCGATACATACTGCTTCATCACATTCCGGTGGATCGGCGATTCGACTGAGCGCATTACGCGGTTGGCATTTGATGCGGTGCCAGCGGATGTCAGAGAAAAGAGGGCGAGAGGGGGGCTGAAGGGGGGACGAGGAGAGGGAGGAGAAGGAGATTGGTTTGTTTGTGATGTCAATTTCATCAATGATCAAGCAGAGCCAGTTTGAAGTGAAGCTGCTGAGGCTACTGGACTTAAAAGGTACAGCGTTCCCCTTTGTTTCTACCAAACCATTCACACAAGCCACACAACATAGAGTCCGTCTCTGGCAATCCACCATGAAGATCACACAGGACATCTTCCTCGCCTTGGCCTTGGTCAATTCGGCCACCTTTGCCAGCGCTCTCAGCTACACCTGTCCCGGGGACAAGGGAAAGACGATCATTCGGTGAGAATTCCCATGCCCGATGTTTTCCAGCCCAGTATTACCCATCCCAGAAAGGCTGACACCCTCTTCCTCGGCTGCTAGAAACGGGAAGGAGTACGAGTTCAAGTGCGCCGAAGGAGTCAGGGGCATGCCCACTAAGATCGTCGATGGCATTGACGCGGTTGACTGTGCTGGTATTTGCGCCACTGACCCTTCCTGCCTTCACATCACCTTCAAAGAGAAGACGGGCAAGTGTGAGGTGAAGGCCGAGGGTCCCATATTCGGCTACACCGCTGAACCCATCTCTACCTGGTACTTCATCGCCGATGCCCCTGGACAGCCAGATACAGGCAGCACGCCACCGGTAGGCCCTCCAGTCGTGGATCCAGTTGGTGGTGACACTCAACAACCCATTACTGGCGGAGGCGGTGCGACTTCTAGCAACCTTGCGTCTTATTCTTGTCCCGCGGACAACCTGAAGACGTACACAGTGTAAGAGTTGAATCTGACAAGTTATCCTATAAGATTGCGTCTAATTTTGTGATAATAGGGGTCATATTACCTATGAACTGCAGTGTGGGAACGGACACAGCTTGGGCCACTGGACCAGCGAGCCAGGCACCGACTTGAAGGCGTGCGCGGATCGTTGTGCAGCCATCCCAGAGTGCAACAGCTGTGATTTCGACCGCAACACCAAGATCTGTTACTTCAAGACCGCGCCGTCCGTCACAACCCCTTGGGCCAACGGGGATGCTTGGTACCGTGTTACCTGTCCCAAGGTTCGAGCCACCGTTGCGAATACCAAGCCCGACATCACGACAACTCTGCATTGCCCTAGCGGTACGTTATCATAGGTCCATTTTTTTTTTCCCTTCTCCCAATTAATTATAAGAAAATGACTGATTCTCCGGCAGATGACGGCAAGATCTTTGAGGGATCAGATGGAACCTGGTTCTACCTCCAGTGCTGCACCGATACCGACGGTGCCTCGATTCTTGGCCTCGAGACTGCCTCCAACCATAGCGACTGTCTTGAGAAGTGTGTCGCGAACAAAGCATGCAAGAGGTATACACAATCGCAACTCTAACTCTTCAACCTCAACGCGGAGCTAACAATAAACAAGTGCTACCTACGCAGACGGCGGCGATGCCAGCAGCCCCAACTGCAAGCTGTACGGCCATGGCATGTTCTCCACAACTGTCGTCACGAGCGGCGTGCACCATGCCTTCGTCACAGACCCTCCTACCAATGATCCATTGGTTTCCAATGCCACGCTGTGCTCTACCGAGTGCCCTGATGCCCACGGTCAGCTCTTCGTCAGCGCTACTGGCGAGGTGAGTTGCTGCCTACATCCATTAGCACGATGAGAGTGTTTGGCTAATTAGCTTTTAAGAACTTCCAAATGACCTGTGAGAAGCGTCACGGCACCACGTATCTCAAGATCGACCGCCGTGCGTCCTTTGAGGCCTGTATGAGCGCCTGCGGCGCCATGCCCGCCTGCCACAGCGCTGATTACGAGCCTCGCACCAAGAAGTGCTACTACGGCAACAACTACAACCCACCTGCTATCGACGCAAGGGCTTTTATCTCTGCTCACTCACTCGGATGCGCAGGTGCTTGCTCTTGCTTGCGCATCTCTTCAGGCTCACCCACGTAGATGGATGAGATTATGGGGAGGCCCACGTTGGTGCGGCCACCGAGGAGCTCGCAGACTGGGAGGCCAACCGACTTACCAAAGATATCCCAACAGGCAATATCGATTGGAGTCTTGGCATGCTCATGACCAACAAGAGCAGCATCCATAGCCTCGTTGATGCGGTCCAACCGCCGAGGGTCGAGGCCGATGAGCCACGGGGCGATCTCAGCAATTCCAGCCCTCACACCGAGAGCATGAGCAGCAATATAGGTCGAGCCAAAGGGGGTGCTCTCGCCCCAGCCCTCAATGCCCGTGTTGGTGGTGATGCGCACAAAGGTACCATCGAAGCTACGGTACTCTCGCCCGCCAGAGAGCCGGTAGACACCGCCAGAGTAGGGCAGCTCGGCCTGGAAGACGTCGATCTTTGCGATCTTCAGCTCAGACATGATGACTTAGGAGCAGATGACGAAGGGATTTTGGATCAAGGGTAGGGATCCTTGCAGTTGTGATGGCTAAGGACTGACGACGCTCGTAGGCGGACAACCAGGCCTCTTAAATGTACGATGCCCTACCTATGAAAGCACTCCCGATGTACAACCTCATGATAAGGTCCCCTAGTTCTCGCATACGACTTCGGTTCATCCCACGAATCTGGGGTAGGTGGATCCAACCCCCTCTCACTTCGTCCTGCAAGCTCTCTTATCTTTACCGACTAAGGTAAATGGAGTCCCGGAGTCCCAGAGGGGAACTCGGTAGCTGCCTCAAAGGAGAAAAAGTATGCGACATGTAATGGAATTTGGAGCCATCGGGGTGTGGTATCTACGGGTTCCTGGCCCGGGTGCATGGGGTTGTGGCCGTGTAAGTCAGGTCAGCCTCCCTGTCTCGCCGATGGAAAAGAGTCCCAACATCAGCTTTATTGTACATAATACTCCTTTTCTGTTTCTAACCATTTGAGTAAAGAGCTAGGAATTCCTGTCTTTCCCTGACGTTTCCTTGATAACATGCACGCCTTGAGTTACGCTGCTTGACAAGACGTTGGATCGGGTTCCGAAGCCGAGAAAGCCACCAAGCCATCGACAACCCGATCTGCAGCATATCTTCCCCGCATCATCCCAATCCTAGCGCATATCGAATTACTCGGTGACATGTTGAGAGCTGGCCTATCGCCATGAGATGTCCCGTAAGGAAACCCGGATCTATCTGTCACCATGCCGTCCCGGCTACATTCCCCGATGAGTACGGAGATCACTCCATTGGGAGCCCGGATTCGTTCCCGGTCAAGTCAGAAACAATTAGATGATCATTTGAAGTGATTCAATGTGAATGGACTATGAGAATATCCACTTACAAATCAACTTAACCCCGCTTGCTTATATGTCAGCATTAAAGGCGTAACTATTCGCAGTACGGCTGTATAAAGAGACCAGCACGCCCGCACTCACTCATACCACCATAGCTTCACGCCAACTATAAGAAGAATTTGCAGAAATGCCTCTACCTACCACCCGTCAGGCATGGCGCCGAACCGACGATTTCACCCCTGGGACACCCAAGGTGAAGCTCGTCACAGAGGACCTCCCTCTCCCCCTTCACCCCACGGCGGTTCTGATCAAGATCCACGCTGTGGCACTCAACTACCGCGACGCCAACATCGCTAACGGAGGAAACCCTTGGCCTGTCAACCCCAATGGCGTTCCTGGGAATGACGCCGCCGGGGAGATCATCTCGGTTGGTGACCGAGTGTCGCTCGTGTCTGTAGGAGACCGTGTTGCTCCCATCACAGACTCTGAATACGTCAATGCCAAATCTACTGGTCGGTCTTGGCTCGCTGCCAATGAGGATGGTACTTTGGCTACCTACCTCGTCTTTGATGAGAAGCTCGTCACCAAGCTGCCTGAGCATCTCGACTGGGTCCAGGCCAGTATCATCCCATGCGCTGGAACGACGGCCTGGTCTGCCCTCAAGGGCGCCACCATCGGCCAAACTGTTCTAATCCAGGGTGAGTCTTCAGCCAACTGTGTACCATAAATCCACTCGTTAACAGTTACAAGGTACTGGCGGTGTCTCCACCTTTGCTCTCAAGCTGGCCCGCGCCTCTGGTCTCAGGGTCATACTCACATCGTCCAGCGACGAGAAGCTTGAGCAGATCAAGAAGCAATTTGGAAAGCCCGAGATCCAGACTGTCAACTACAAGTCACACCCTGAGTGGCAGCAGGAGGTACTCCGTTTGACAGGAGGCATCGGTGTCGATCTCGTCGTCGAGAACGGTGGCAGCAGCTCCCTTGTGTGGAGCATGGAATGCACACGCCGTGGCGGCATCGTCAGCCAGGTCGGCTATCTCGGTGGACCCAAGCCCGAACATCTCAAGGAGTTCGTCTCGACCATCATTGACAGGCGGCTCAACGTCAGGGGTATCAACGCCGGCTCTAAGGACGATCAGGATGAACTGATGGCTGCCATATCGGCTACTCAAATGACATTTGAGGATATTCTCGACTCGGTGTGGTCATTTGAAAAGGCGGATGAGGCCATCGAGTTTGTCTGGCAGGGAAAGCAGGTTGGAAAGGTTGTCATCAAGTACGACTAGCGAGATCACAGACAAAGAAATATGGATCGAGAAGCGCGCCTGAAAGGAGACAAGGGCAACAAAGAAAGATGCAAGGCTTGTTTAGGGGTAACAAGTTTAATTAAGCAGTACCACAACAAAGGGTATCAACTAACCAGGCCCTCAAAGGCGACTGTCCATCTCTACATCTATCACAGAACAGCAAACCTTTAAATCTTGCCCATCCACCCTGCCCCAGTTCTTCGCATATGCTTTCCCTTGGCAATCATCAACAACCCTCCACCCATGGCCAGGACACTTCCCGCAAATGCCTGCGCACCATAGTATCCTCCCTCAACATCAATGATAGCACCTGCAATAGGGGGCCCGGTTAACGCCGCGAAACTCGCAACCGTAAACGCCATACCCATCCGGACGCCAATCTTGCTGAGGTCCTGCGTCAGTAATGATACACCCGTGGGGAACAAACTTTGAATGGCCGCTGCAATGATGCCGTATATAACTGCCCAAGCGTACAGACCTGCCTTGTCTGTCACTAGCATCCAAAAGTACAGCAGTAGAGACGCTGCGAGGGCGTGCGGTGCGAATACGTTGATGGCGCCTGTATGGTCGGCGACCCAGCTGGATGCCAGACGGCCGACGATACCAACACCATTGAGGATCATGAGCAGGTCGAGGGATTCAGTGTATGTGAGGGGGGGATCAAGGGCAATCTGTGAATATGCAGGAATGAAGTAGTATGCGAGATACACGCCCCAGCAGGTAAAGAAGGACGCTGTAACGTACAAGGCATACTCAACATCCTTGAAGGCAGACCAATCTACGAGTGGGTTTGAACCACGAGGCTTGATTCTAGGCTTGGCAAACACCAAAGCTAAAGAGAGCGTCAGCAATTGCGTGAGACCCGCGATCCTCAACGTCCAAGCAAAGCCCAGCTTTGGCAGAAGCTGCCTCACAAGACTAGGAAACACCATACCCCCCGTAGCACTCCCACAAGCAGCGATGCCCATAGCCAAAGCACGTCGTCTAGCAAAGTACGTTGACAGCACCGCAAGAACAGGGCAGAAAACGCAGCTATGACCAAGTCCAACCAGAACTCCCTGAGCAACAAAAAAGTGCCAGTACTCGGAACCCACCGAAGTAACCATGACGCCCACAACCTGCAGCAAAATGCCGGTAACGAAGACATACCGAAAGTACCCAGCATCGACCAACCGTCCCGTAAGGGTTCCCACAAAGAACAGCAAAAAGACACTAATGGATCCAATCCACGAGATTTCGCTCACCGATCGATTGAGCTTGTCAACGTAGTAAGCCTGAAAGATACCAAAAGAGTTAACCCAACCCCATGTGTTCATGTAGACCAAATGACCAGAGAAGCAGACGCACCAAGCTCTCCATCCACCATCTGGAGGTGTCAATGAGCTGAAACTGGACTGGGGAGATACTCGACGTACCACTTGTTCCATGATACTCATCTCGAATTCTTGAGGCTCTTCTGGCTGTGTGTTGTCGACACCATCGAACGGTGTTCCTGGTCCCCTTTCTTCATCCGGCTGAACAGAACCTCGTGGGATAGGTACAGGTGCTTCTGGCACCGCCGTGCCTTCTCTCTCATTTTCGATGCCGCTCATGTTGAATATCCGCTTGAGAAGTCTCAGTGATCTCTTTGACGTTGACAATTCAAAGAAACCCTTGCTGGCTATCAACAATGAAGTATCTGCACCAAAAGCCTAGATGCATGTTACAGAGGAATAAGGCAGAGTTATACACATTTCTAGTTCTTTGTCTCTCTACTGTTCCTGCTCCAATCATCGTATAGTTTTCACGTTCATTCCTCCATATTCTTTGTGTCCTCATCGAACGAGAAACACCCAACAGGATGAACACCACACACAATAGAACGACCATGCACTAACCCCAAGTCATAGCCGTGTTCAAGGACCTATGAGCCCCTTGGGTTCAACTTCGATTCCAGGATGAGGAATAAGCTGGCCGTAGTCACACAACTTGAGATGCCAGTGAGACACCCCTTGAACAAAAGCCATTATCGGCTCACAAGGTCATAACTCATTATCTATGCAACCTGCTTCATGCGTATTTCATATCAATGCCTCTGTATACTCATAGTCAGGCCGTCCGTCGATACATACAGCAAACCCGGGGGCATCCATAGTGTCCAACAGACATGTACGCAACCAACCCTGCCTCCCATGCTTGCTCCGTCATTGTTCCTTCACTATCGGCCTAAATACAATTCCATCCCATCCCGTCCCATCCGCAAGTTTGACTCCAGTAATGCCCCTTCTCCCAGCTAAGTCTATTCCCTCCATATGATCCATCCACTCGCTTATCAATCTCATTCCCAGCCACTGCCCGCATTTACATGAGGATCTACTTCAAGTTAGCCATCTGCTTAAACACGGATAATCAGTAAACACTTACACAGTCGCCTTCCTGCTTTCCTTGTGGAATACCCATATCCTCAAAAGTCGCTGGGCCCTTGCCTCCCTTAGGTGGCGGTGCAGTTGCCGCGCTAGGAGCAGGGCTAGGCTTGTTATCAGGCCTCTGGAACTGCGACGGCGGCGCACTGCCAGTCCTGGGAGGTCCAGTAGGGCCCCCTTGATGTCCTCCTGGTCCTCCTGGTCCTCCTGGTCCACCCTGGGGTCCTCCTGGTCCACCCTGGGGTCCGCCGGGTCCGCCAGGTCCGCCAAAGGGTCCTGGAGAGGGACCACCGTGTCCTGGGCCACCAGGAACACGATTTTGAGCGGCGCTTGAGGTACGCGGCGGCCGCATATCGGGGCGCATATCTGTCGGCTGTGGGCGAGGCTGCTGTGGGCCTCCTGGCTGTGGGCCTCCTTGCTGCTGGTTCTGAGGGAGCGAGCTTCCTCGCTCGGGTCGGCCACTAGCTCCAGGCACACGAGAGAAGCGTTCGTAGTTCTGAGGCTGACCTGGCCCACCCTGGGGCCCGGGTGGGTATTGACCAGCAGGAGGAGGCTTTTGGAGTCGGCCACCCTGAGGCCCAGCATCGGGGTATGGTGCTGCACTGCCTGGTCTGGCAAAGTTGTTGTCCTCTGGGTAAGGAGATGGTCGTCCTCCAGGGCCACCGGGACCACCAGGACCACCAGGACCTGGACGGCCACCTTCATATCCAGCAGATGCGGCTCTACCACGCAAGTCAGGACGGCCAGGGCCACCAGGACCGCCGGGGCCACCGGGACCGCCGGGACCTCCAGGTCCTCCGGGTCCACCAGGATGGAGGTTACCCATTGACTGGGAGCCTGGCATTGGTCGAGGACCACCGGTCTGGGGCTTGATACCAAAGGCGCTTGAAGGACGGTCTGCCTGAGGTCCCAGCCGAGGGTCTTGGTTAAATCGAGGAGAGGTAGGTCCCCGAACATCATCCTCCGGATAAGGCGCCGTGGACTTAGCACGAACGGTCAGGGGCGGCGGTCGATCATCCTCGGGGTACGGGGCTGCGGAATGAGGTCGCGGCGGGCCTTGGTTTGCATCTAGCCGGACATTAAAGGCGGGAGGTCGGTCTGTATTGACGGCAGGGAGCACGAAGGAAGCCCGGGAGGGATCGGGGAAGTTGACGTGCTCCGAGACGAGGGTTGGTCGGGCTCCTAGGGATTGGTTAGGAGCCAAGCCAGGAGATGGAGATGGCTGTCGGCCCCCGACAGCATCGACGGTAGGCGAGGCGGGGGCGCTGTTCTCGCTCAGGGTGGGCATCTGCTGTGGCTGCTTGAAGCGATCGGGTCGTTGTCCCCGCTGAGAACCGTGTTGCGACTTGATTCGGGTCAGCGTGGTCGTCTCGTGGTCAGTCTTGGAGAGAGTCCTGTCGGCGTCAAGCGATTCGAGTCGGCCAATGGCGTCCTTGTTGCCGTGGTCGGCCGCAATCTGGTACCACTTCCGGGCTTCCGCCAGGCTCTTCTCAACGTGTATTCCTATCTCGTTGTAGTATCCCAGAGCGAATTCTCCAGTAGGAAGTTTGGCGGCTGCAGCTTCTTGAGCGTACTTGTACGCCAATGCCTCGTTCTTCTTAAAGACACCCTCATATCCAAACAAAAACCATCGACTGACACCCAGAGCAGCCTCCGGCAGGCCCTGCTTGGCTGCCAAGCCGTAGTAGTGGATGGAGAATGATGGGTTGAAGTCGCAGCTGAATTGGCAAAGCTCATAAGCTTGGCCCATCTTTAGCTGGGCCTTGGCGAAGCCTAGGTAAGCTGACTTCTCGATATACATCTTGGCCGTTTGGGGGTTGTTGGGCAGCAGACCCTCGGGAATAGTGATGTCGGGTAGATCCCGTCCGATGAGCATGCCGTACACGTAGGCGCCCTGGGGAGCATCCTCATCAGAGCTATCAGCGGCGGCCTGTATCCGCTCAAGGCCAGTCGAGTAGTCCTTGGTCTCGCCGTGCTGACCCAAGAGGCTCATCATGCCCATTCGGTACAGCGAGGCGGAATCCTTGAGGGATAAACCGCGGTAGTAATGCTCCTTGGCCTTGGACATGTCGTTGGACTGCTCGTACAACATACCCATCCGGTATTCCGATCGGGCGTGGCCAAGCTCGGCGGCACGCTTGTAGCCGACATAGGCCTCACGCTTGTCAACGCGATTGCCAAACTTGCCAAACTCGAGCCATTTTGAGCGCATGTAAAGTGCCTCGGGATGCTCTTGCTGTGACAGGTAGGAGATGATGTTGATTGCGTCGAGGCGGAGCTCATGCTCTATGCGGGGGGTAGCGGGTCGGGCCCTGTCGCCATACTCTCTCGTGAGGCTCTCCTGGGAGATGTCCGCCCAGGTAAGGACGTCGCGCGCCCAGGTAATCTGCATCGAGACATTCTGGGAGTGCAAAACGTGCTTGCGCGCGTTCCATAGTATCTCCTCCTTCTCCTCGTCAGTCGGGGGGATGTTATCGCCCTTGACCTTGGGGAAGGGCGAAAAGGAGGGGGCGTCGAAGTTCATGGTGCTGAGGCGCTCGGTCCTGTAGGCGTCGCTCGACTTGTATGCTCGAATATCGTCGTCTAGGACCTGGGCGGCGTTGGCCTGGGGCCGGGGCTGGTCAGCTCCCCGAGGGTTGATATAAGTCGAGAGGGAGGGCTCGCGGGTGTGACGAGGTCCAGGTCCAGGTCCAGGTGCAGCTTCGGATCGCGGTTCAACAGAAGTAGCCTCGAGCTCCATGCGCTGGAGGTCCTCCTGCATGTTTTGGGGGACCTGAGGGGTTACCCTAGATACAAGGACAACAAAGAATCGTCAGCGCGCCCCACCTTTCCACCGTTGCAACCGGATCCGGCTCTCACAGGCAAGCTTAAGGGGACTGGGACTGGGACGGAGCAGGGCAGGGAGCTTGGGCTTGGGGAATCGGGAAATAGAAACTGGAGCCTGGGCCGCAAACGGGATGGGATTAAAAAGGGGAGAAACCAGGCGACGTACCTTTGGGGCGCAGGAGCGACGACCTCTGGCATATAATAGTCGTCAAAACCACCGGGGACAAAGGTCGCACCGAGTTGTGGGGGAGCCATGTCGTTCTGCTGGCTCTCGTCTGTCGGAGAAGGACGTAAGATGTCAGCACGAGGATTGGGGGAAAGGATGAATAATGAAGGGGCCCTGGTTCTGGCCTCTCCCGGGGAGATGAGGGCACTGTAAGAGCTGACGGGCGCGGTCGCCGATGACTCTGCAGAGACGGCGCGTAACCCCTCCTTTCGCCCAAGCCAGCGGGCGACCGAAGGACGAGCTGAATAGCTGTGCGTGCTCTGCGCTGCGTTCTGGCTTGGTTGGCTGGCTTGCCTGCCTACCTGCCTGATTGATTGATTGATTGGTGGCGGTGGTTCCAGCGACAAGCTGCAGAATTAGTCGATTTGACGTAGACTGTAGGCTGGCTGTGGCCCGAAGAAAAGGCTCCAGAATCAAGATGGAGTGTGAAACGCCAAACGGAGGCGGTTCGGGAGCCCAACGACGAGGGGATCCAGAAGTAGTAACAGTGCGGCGGGGTTCTAGAGCCCAACATCGGGTGGTGCCTCAGGGGATCAAGCACAAGGATCCAGGTCCAAAGTGCGCCAAGAACCACTCTGCTAGGGGTCGGCTTGGATTGTCCGTAGGTACTGCCGAGAGACAAATGTTGTCGGAAGCGGGACGTAATGGAGCAGATACGAAGATCTACTAATACCCATAGAAGAATAAGAAAACTCGCTTGGACGATTGCTTGGACGTTCCGTTCCGAGATGGCTGTGTCAGAATAGTCACAATGTCGTCCGCCACAGCAGGCGCTTTAAGGGTCCATCCTGTGCCGGCCCATTGTGGTGTTTAGGCACTGTTGTATCCTGACCCGCTGGCTGGCATGGTCCAGAAGACATTGCTGAGACCTAGAATGTGGCTTGGTATCCAAGGACCAGGCTGTGTAGTGGGTGCCAGAGACGCAAATAGCTCCCCTGTCGAAATGACGATGCTGGTCTGGAGCTCTGGGGAAAGACCATGTTGCATGTTGAGCTGGGCTTGCGTGTTTCTAAGGGGCTGGGCGTCGACCGATCTTGCAGGTGGCCAGGGACGAGTAAAAGCTGACACGGCTTCAGGTCTAGATAGTTCGCGCCAAACTCTGTCGGGGTTCTCTTGTCCAAGAGGCGTTTCTCGCTCTCGCTTTGATGTCCTTGTTCTCGTATGGGTCCAAGAGACTGCGTCTCAGTCCCTCTTGGTCCAGTGTCGGCCACCAATCAATCAATCAATCAAGTCAAACAGATATGTCGGCGAATGGAGAGTCGCCAGCTCGCACAAGATGCGCTCCTGCATATCAGCTCTTACAGAGGGAGCCGGCCAAGTGATGACGGGGATGACGGGAGAATTAAGGGTTGCTTACATGAAGAGTTGCCGGCAGCGGCTGAGCCGCCGGGAGCTCCCTTTCCGAGCTGTGCGTATTGCTGATAGCTCGCCATTGCGGCGGCTTGAGGGCGGCGTGTGGGGCAAGGGAATATGGGTATAGAACGAAGAGAAAGTCGACAAAGAGAGTCGGAAAAGAAGGGAGCCGAGGTCGAGATCAGCGGAGAGGCTGAGGGTCCAGACGCTTCGTTATGTATCCGTCAGTGTGACGGGCCTCACGAGATGGGCTGCTGTCCTGTAATCAGCTGTAAGGAGCTGTAACACTAGAAATCGCTAGGCCCAGCCCGCGACTGGCACCCTGTGGGCGTCTTGCAGAGGGTGGGCTGCGGCGGCGGCTGTTGGGAGCGGGGCGCTCCCGAGTAAAAGGTGCGCGCGACGGGCGACAGTGCGTGGGGAAACGAAGGGAAAAGCAAAGGGACGCTCGTGCGTGCTGCGACAGTCGAGTAGCCTGCGACAGACAGGTCGTAAGTGGGCTATGGGTGAAGGATTCGCAGCAGGGATGTTGGCCCCGTTCGTTCAACGGCGTCTTGTTTCAATTTGTGGAATCAGGAACTCTGTCGGACTGACATGAACTATTAGGTGAGGATCGGCGCGGACATGAGACGGTTCGTATGGAGCGATGCAAGGAGTAGAGAGGTTGGGTGTAGGAATGAAATAGGCCAGTAATGCGAAGAATAAAGGTGAAGAGGCAGAGGCAGGAGCCTGAGATCTCAGGTCCTCGACGTCAGATGCCTCTCGCTTAAGTTCCAGGTGGTTGTAAGGGAGGCACCACCTGCAACTGTCCGACACTGCAACAGCAGACGAGCCGTCTAATGCTTAGGAAATACTCTTCTTTTGCGAGGAAATAATCTACCTAAAATGTGATAAGAATTAAGAAAATGTAATCATAGTAATTAGGTAGTACTCTATAAATACTCTTAATTATTAACAGGGCTCATTTAAACCGGGTGTCAAGTGATGGTTGTACTAGTCTCTCATTTGGCAGATAAATTGAAAGCTATTGAATATTGCCAAGAAACATGGCCATGGGGATTTGCATTGCAATCAACGGCTCCAAGAGCTGTGAAGCTGGAGCTCGGAATGGAGGGTAGCCACACGGCCACGGAGACACCCTTCAGACGAGGGGCAGAGAGAGGCTGGCTATGATGTACATGCTCGTCACGGCGTCGTGAAGTCATGACCCTGGTAGTACTCTCAAATCTGCCAACCATTGCGGCACATGTCCTGATGCCTCTCATTTCTCGTGCTCTTTGGTTACCTAGTTGTCAAGTTTCACATGTGCTGATGGATGTAGCTAATTTACCGATACGGACACCACTTCGAGAGAGCTTTACTGCAGCTCAGCTAAATGACCAAGCTGGTCGCTTGCTCAGCCACAGCCCCCGCTGCTATTTTCAGCTCCAGCTCTGTCCCTGGTTTCATTTCCAGCGAGCGCCGTTTGCTGGTCGAGGCCATGATGGCCTGAATTTTGAATTGTTTTGTTTCTGTTGGACCAAACTCCTTGCTGTTGCGGCAGGACATGCCATGCTCATAGTTGTCCCCGTACACAAGCACGGCACTACCTAACAACAGCTGTCGTGTTTTGCACGGCCACGTGAAAGCTATGTCTCCGACAGAGAACAAGCTTGTTACCTCGTGGCTCCAAATGCGAGTTTAATTAATCGTTTAGTGCTATGCGAGGTACGGGACGGAGCACCTACCTTGGCACTGGAGGTGTCAAGGCAGATAGAACCCGCATAGCCTAGGCTGACTCTGGCCCAAAGTCCTTTGCGCGGAACTGCATATGGAATCGATCAAACCGCCGCCAAGACAGCCGCACAAGGCTGACTTTGACCCCCATGGACCTTCATCGATAGTCTGCCCAGCCCAACCCCAAACAGATGGGATGTGCTCGCTTGCTGTCCATGCGCGATCAGCCGCATGCAACCCAAAGATGCGATTTCAATCTAGAAAAACAGCGAATTACAAAGATGTAATTTTGTTGAAATGGCGCGAACCTGGGTGCCGATGGATCGTCCATGATGATTACCTCATCCGAGGTGACTTGGCGGCCCGGCCCGGAATTTCTCTCTCCCGAGATACCCCTGCAACCCCAGCACCTCGCAACCACCAGCGCCAGGCATGTGCCGTGGCCTCGCGTCACTGAATGCAGCCTGGTGAAGCTTCAATATCACCAACCATCAACACCACGACCCCAAATAACCATACCACAAAACCGCCTCATTGACCGCCTCATCTCCCACCAAAAACCTCAGTAAAATACTCTGCGCGAAACCGTAACGAGGCATTCTGCTCTCCCCCCGTCGCCCACAATGGCCGACCGCAACCTCGCCCAGATCCTTGCTCAGCTCAAGCACTCCCCATCCATGAGCTACTCCGACGCCAACGCCCTCCTCTCCAAGGCCAAGCTCGCTCTTCTCAAGCTCAACGCCCTCACGCCGTCCCCCAGCACCCCCGCTCCCCTCCTCCCTCTCGCCCGCGAGACCTACGAGCAGGGTGCCCTCTTCGCCATCCGCGCCCGCAACCCCGACGCCTTCACCCGCTATGTCCAGCAGCTCCAGCCCTTCTACGAGCTCCCCGCCTCCGTGCTTGCGCCCAACCTACCCGAGCGGAACAAGGTCACTGGTCTGAGCCTGCTTCTGTTGTTGACTCAGGGTCGATATGCCGAGTTCCACACCGAGCTTGAGAGCTTGGCCAACCGGGAAGGTGGCGGCGGTGACGTCGAGAGTGACCGATACTTGGGCTATCCCATTCGTCTGGAGAGGTGGTTGATGGAGGGATCCTACGACCGGGTTTGGAAGGCCATGAAGAGCAGCGAGGTGCCATGCGACGAGTATAGCGTTTTCTCAGAGGTAGGGATCTATACGCTCTCAACGATCAACGCATACTAACTTGGACACAGATCCTTAAGAACCAGATCCGCTCCGAAATCGCCTCCAGCAGCGAGCGCGCATACCCTAGCCTCCCCATCAGCTCGACAAAGTCCCTGCTCTTCCTCGACTCGGAGGGCGACGTCATCTCGTTCGCCCACCACCGCGGCTGGGTCGTCCGCGACGGCCAAATCTACTTCCCTGACGCTGCTGAGGGTGAGGATGGTGACCAGAACAAGGAGATGAGCCAGATGGTGATAGAGAATGCTCTGGGCTACGCCCGCGAGCTCGAGACGATTGTGTAGAGCTGCACTAGTGGAGATGAAGGGGAAACAGGATATAGACGAGTAGAGGAAGAGACAACTGTTGTACGACTAATTCAACTTGACGATATCCGTCCATCCGACGGAAACACAAAGCAAGTAACCGTCCAACACATACACTCATGAGGTCTCCATACGTCATCCTTCTATCGAATTGTGTACGTCTCGCATGAATTCAGGCTAAGTTGCAGCTATAAAGATACGACATGACTCCTATGCCATCGTTCTACCAACCTATCGTCCAAGTCCGGCCTTTTTTGAAAACCATAGACGTTCCCTATCGGTCCACCTGGCTTCTTTTGTGCATCGTTGACTCGAAACTCCATGTCCCAACTTGCGCTCCAGTCATTAAATCTTCTACTCTTTAAAGGCTTAAGCGAATAGCTTCAAGCCGCTGCCATGCTTGCCAATCTCGCAAACCTGGCATACTCGGCACACGGTGCCCTTGTACTGGGTATGGTACTTGGAGCCGTCAAAGGCGCACTCCTCGAACGCCGTGCCGCTGTAGATGGGAGTGTGGCTGGCCGCGCACACGTCAAACTCAGCGAACTGGTCGAACTCGATCTCAACAGCATCATGAGGGTTGCGCTCGCACTGAGCCTTAGCTCTCCTGGCCTATTTACGTTGTTAGTCATTGAGATAATTGCAATAAGGCACTGTGATAACTTACGTTCTCCACAATCTTGCTAGCACCGCCATTGGCGATGATGCGGTTAGCAAAGCTTAGGGCAGAGTTATAGTTCCTGTTGCGCATGGCCAGCTGCATGGCGCTGAGCAGGGCAAGCTGTCGATGAGGCACCTCGATCTTGGGGATCGTGAAGTATGCCGACAGCTCAAGGCTTCTCTGAAGCTTCTCGGGGTCATTGGCGACGACCTCGGCAGAGCCCAGTTGTCTCCTCGAGAGCTCAATGTCCATAGCAACAGCGTACTCGCTCGCCGAAGCAATGAGCTTCTTAGCCTCAGCCACCTCGTCCTCGCTCGAAACAGCATTGACCAGGATGGAGTGCAGGATGCCTCTGAAAATGTTGACACCAGCATCCAGCCTGTTGGACTTCATCGAGTCGTAGCCTGCCTGCAGGTCGTTGGAGGCAAGGTGCTCCAAATCCCGAGGGATAATAGGCAGAACCCTTCTGGGATCGGTCTCATCCAGGGTTCGGCGGACATAGTTCACCAGGGGTGACAGGCCCTGGGAAGCGGGGAGGAAGGTCCTGGAGGCCGAGTAGACCTCAAGGAATCGCGGCTTGAGTGGTGCAAAGTCAACAGCGCCAACCTGTCGATTCAGGAGCTGCATAGCAGTCTCGAACGAACCGCCAGCAATGTGATCCACAGCCAGGGGTGAGTTGCGCGCCCAAAGGTCAGCCTCACTGCTGGCAGCGCCGCCAGCATCAGCACTCTCGACATTAACGAAGTCGCTGTCGACCTCAGGAACATCATCGTCGCCCATATCCCAACCGGCGACATCCTCATCGTCATCATCGATCAAGGAGACGTTGCGCTTGGCAGCAGAATCATCCTCCAGGGCATCCTCGAAGCCTCCAGTGGCAGCAGCGGGCTCATCCTCGAGCGAGAGACCCTCAACCTGTCCAAGAAGAGCCTTCTCGAAGAAGGATTGCGAAGTAGCCTTGGTGGGCCAGTTGGCCTTGAAAGTGGACACGACCGGCTTGGGAGTAGACAGAGGAGCACCGAGAGTGGGCATGGTGAGGTCTTCCTCAGTCAGACCAGTGGCCTCGAGGATGGCCTGGCACTCCTCCTCAAGGCCGCGAGACTTGGCAGTCATGTAGGCAAGAGGGTCTATACACAGTTAGTGGGATCCAAGATAGCTAGCTAGCTTATACTTACAGAGGTCAATCTCCTTGAACATCTGAATGCGATCCTCAACCTCGCCGAGATAAACGGCGTTCTGGAATCGCGAGGTAAAGTCACCACGGTGCTCAGCAATCTTAGCCATTCGAGCAAGCTTGGAGTGGTCACCGGTAGCGAGGTACAGGAAGGAAAGCTTGTCGAACTGCTTCAGCTTCTGGTAGCACATCTCAACGACCTGATGGTTGCCATGTGCCAGGGCCTCGGTGCTCAGGCGAGTCCAGAACTTGGGCTTGTCAAGCTCCTTAGCCATCTCAACAGCCACATCAAGGTTGCCGCACTCAATGGCAAGGTCGAATCGGGTAGTAGGGTCCTGGACGAACTGCAGAGCAATCTCGGGGTAGCCCTTCTTCTGGAGATATGAGATGATGGACTGTCCCACAAGGCTGGAATTTCGGATGATGTGAAGCATCTCCTCGTAGTTTCGCTTCACGAGGGCCAGCTTGAATCGGTACTCGGTAGGGTCGATCTGCAGGATACGGGGCTTGGCAGCTCGGTCAAGGCAGTAAACGTTGCGGCCCTTGACCTTGACCAGGTAGACGGTCTGATCCAGGGTTCGGACAATACCGTTGTCGCCGTTCAGGAGAGTGTACTTGACGTGGTTAAGAGTCGAGTAGAGGAGGACACCGGCATCGTCCCAGGTGGCGCTCTTGATACGAATCGTCTCGTGGAGGGTGCTGACCTGCTCGAGAGTCTTGGTAACAATAGTGACATTGTGCTTGCTCAGGAGAGCGGCGTAGAGGCCATCGTTGGACCACACAACATACTTGACACCGTTGACGGCAAGCTCACCGGTGCTCTTCTTCTGCTGGATGTCGTAAAGGTGGACGGCGGTGGGGGTGATGATCAGCAGGTTACCAGTACCTCCAAAGTAGATGTCAGTGGTGCCAACGGGAGGCTTGAAGGATCGGGTCGTGTTGTTGGAGAGGTCCTTGATATCGATGGTCTGGTTGGCCGAGTTGAGCACAGCGAATCGGTTGCGAGCCACGAAGATGGCCGAGTTGCCAGCGCCACGCTTGGACTCGGCTGGCTCGATAGCGCCCGAGCCATCCTTGGGAAGGTTCACAAGCTCATAAGAGCCTCCCTCAGCGGGGGAGGTGACAAGGATAGATCGCTCCGCAGGGTTGTAGGACAGGGTACGGGGCGCAACCCAGGCGCTACCAAGCTTCTTGAGCGACAGCAGGGTAGGGCTCTCGATGTTCTTCTGGAAATCGTAGGACTTGACGTGCTTCTCCTTGGTGACGTAGAACAGCTGGTTCTGGTGAACTGCCGAGGCAGGGCGCTCACGCTCCAGCTTGAAGACCATGACACCATTGTCGTGGCCAGCAGCAAAGAGGTTGATCTCGGGGTGGGCAGCAATCACCCAGAAACGGTCGTTCTCTCGCTTGAAGGACTGAACGGCAGTTCGCTTGTTAAGATCCCACACACGAATGGTCTTATCCTCGCCAGCAGACAGAATCAGGTCCTGGTGCGGATGGAAAAGACAACCCGAGGCGTTCTGGAAATGTCCTCGGCATGTATCAACCTCCCAAGCCTTGGTCTCGCTCATGCGCCAGAGCTTGACCAGGCGATCGTCGCCAGCGCTCACAATGAGGGGCATTGTGGGATGGAAGGCGACCCAGTTGACACCTCGGTCGTGACCCTCGAGGACGAACTTGACAACGGCGTCGGTGTTGCCAAACATGTCGGTCTGGTTCTGGTTGGCGCGCGCCATCTGGTCTTCAAAAGACATCGAAGTGGGGGCAGAGTGCTTCTTTCGGAGGCCGGAGATGTCCCAAACGCGGACGGACTGGTCGAGAGAGGCCGAGACGACGAGGTCTTCCTTGGGGTGGAACTGGGCACACATGGCATAGTGGTTGTGGCCAGTCATGGTGCAGACTATGGACACATCAGCATTTCAGAACATTTGGCAAAGCGCCAACGCAACCTACTCAATGAACGGTTCTGCCAGTTCCATATCCGAATGGTCTGGTCATCCGAGGCTGACAGGATCCAGGGAAGCTCGTGGTGGAAGAAGACAGTTCGGACATAGTCAAGATGGCCGTTGAGGGTGAACAGGCAGCGCCTGGTCTGGTAGGACCAGACTTTGATCTTGTAGTCGTCACCGCCCGAGACGAAGAGCGGCTGGGTCTTGTGGAAATCGACACCTCGAACGGGGCCATCGTGTTCCTCGAAACGATCAATCAATGTTCCCATTCGGTAATCCCAGAGCTGGATAGTGGAAGAGTGTAGCGACACGAGGATCCATGGTCTGATGGTGACTTGTCAGCTTGGATGTTGCGATGCGGTTCAGCGACGGTCAACGACTGACCTCTTGGGGTGGAAGGCAATGCCCTTTGCTCGAGAGGACTTGGACTCAAACTGCGCAACAAGAACAATTAGCCAATCTGGACCGGGACACATCATGGCCGCGCATTCATACCTTGGTCAACATTCCCGGGGAGGACTGCATCTTGGCGGGGAGGTGAAGCCGCAGCTTCAAGCATTAAGGGGTGGAACAATACGGGCCCAAGAAGCGGTCGGTGGAAGCAGTTGCTCAGCTTGCTTGTCGCTAGATCGCAATCGTCGGAGCGAGCTGGCCAGCAGAGCGTGGAGAAGGGGGAGGTTGTGAGGAGGGAAAAGGGAGGGATAGTAGTGGTTGAATGCTGGCCGTGGAGGGATCTCCTACCTAGGAGGCTTAAGCAATCGTGTCCCAAAGTGTGGGCTGCCATTCATGGCTGGGGAGGCTGAATCCACCCGCAACATTTATTGTTCCGCTCGTTAAACTCCCTGAATGTGGCTTGACAGCGACCCCTGAACCAGACACCCGGGATAAAGCTATGAGCATATTCTCCCCTAAAGATAATCAATAGAGTGCAATTAAAAGCGAATCAGTGCTTCAAACAATTAGATCGTTTTATGAAGTTTTCTAAAAATTTATTTACAATACTTAAGACGAGTTAGGTAACCCTCTTCACGTTCTGGCGTGTCAAATGCAGGGGGAAGATACAACGCCCAGAAGCCACTGGAGCCTGTCACAGCCACATCCACAGGCGCCACATCATGACGGGGCACCTCGCTAAGCCTAGTTGGGGCAGCTCTTGCTTTTGGTGACGCTGTCCAGATCCAACGACACTTTACAACCAGAGGTCAGCTTGATTCTTGATGAACGAGCTGTCATTGCAGGGCAATTGAAAGCCTGCTACAGTCGGAGAAGGCTTAGAAAGCCATATCATTTATTGAACTTGTGTCTTTGAGAATTGCAGCATCATTTCTTGAAATCGCCACGTCTGCCATAGAGGTAGCTCTTGAGAGCTGTCCTTTGCCCCTCCATCGCGAGCCTCAAAGCTCCGAGCTTCGCGTAGATCCAACAAAGGACCATATGCGCTGCCCGAGACAGTTCTAGTCATGTTTCGCCTTTCTCAGCTACCATGGGGGCTTGCGATGGCCCTCGTGGCTTCTCTAGCGACTGCATCTCCAGCTGTCAACGTGGGCATGAACGCTGCCTTTCCTCGTGGGCCATATCTACTTGAACTTCTGTATGCCAAGAATCCAGAGCATACTACCTTGTGTCGCAGCGCTAATGGTCTGTAGGGAAACGGCTGCCGGAGAAAACTCGACTTCGTACTTTCCACTCCTTGACAAGATCGCTAGTGGCCATTTCGCATCAGCAAGCTCAGACGCCGAGCTCTACGATCAGTTCCTCGAGGTCCTGCAACAAGACGGCCATATTGCCAGCCCGGATGCTCTGTCGACCTTCAAGCTAGCTCTCTCCCTGCGATCTGCGGCGCCACGAATCGAGGCTCATTACCAATACTATTCGACTGCCGTTGACCCTACGACAAAGGAGGACGTCGATGAGAAGTGCCAGAGCTGGGCTCTGGTCGAGAACGAGAAGTACTGCTCGCCAACGCTTGATACTGCGGCAGAGAGTGATCTATCATCCAAGTGAGTTAGGCGCATTTCAGCTATAGTTCTTCTTAAGTCCTAACGCGATACAGGCAAACCAATGTGTTGCCCTTTGATCGAGTATTGGGCATTGGCAAAGACGCTGTTCTCTATGCTGACCCTACGTCTGCATCATTTGGCCCCTTTCACGAAACTCTTTCAAAGGCTGCCAAGCAAGGAGACATCTCCTATCGCCTTCGATACCGCCGGAGTACCGCCCAGAGCAGCCCTCTTCCTGTTAGCGGGTATGGTGTCGAGTTGGCCTTGAAGAGAACCGACTACATCGTTATTGACGATCGCGAAGCCGGTAAAGATGCCACGCAAAAGCCCGTCGCCGCAGATGTAGTTCTTGACGAAGAGGAGGAAGTCACCGATTTGAAGCCCCTATCGACCTCGGAGCTGGCATCCTTGGGCTTGAAGACTGCCTCGTTCATTCTGAAGAGCGAAAATCCGTTCGAGACCCTGGTCAAAGCTACACAGGACTTCCCCAAGTTTTCCAGGTCGATCATCGCCCACGAGGTCTCCAAAGAGTTTAAAGAGGAACAGGAGAAGAATGTCGCAGCCGGCGTTCCCACTGGCATCAACTTCTTGTGGATGAACGGAGTTCAGCTCATTGAGCGCCAAATCGAACCGTTTAACCTTATTGATATGATCCGGCGCGAGCGCAAGCTGATCAATGGTGTTCGTGCGCTTGGTTTCAATGGCCAGCAGGCTGTCTCGTTACTTGGACACTCGGAGATCGCCAACGCCAAGGCAGATGATGAACCCACTAGATTCGACTGGACAGATAGAAGCGAAGATGGCAAAGTCTTCATTTGGCTCAACGATCTCGAGAAGGATGACCAATATGCGGAGCTACCAAAAGAACTAAAGGCAGTATGTACAACAAGATCCTTTGGTGAAGAATGTCACTTATCATGTTTTAGCTTCTCCGACGCACTTATCCCGGCCAGCTTCCCCAGGTGGCTCTCAACCTCTTCCACATTATTGCGCCTGTGGATTTTACCAATCTTCAGGACGTAAGGGCATTTAGCCAGCTGGCACAGTTTATGCAGCGCGGTCTCACCATTCGCTTTGGCATTGCCCCCCTGACATCCACGCCCGCAGCTGCTGCGGCAGGCAAGATTGCCTATCACTTGATGGAAACATATGGTCTCGAGTCTCTAGTCGCATATCTTTCAGAGTGCGAGGAGGGCTCCAAGACCGGTGTGGACAAGAAGGCTTTTGTTAAGGCTGTTGAAGGACGTGAACCGCTGCCCGAAACCACGAAGATGACTTTGGATGAGGTTCTTGAAGCCGAATCTTATACGCAAAAGATCAAAGCAGCTCAGTCCTGGGCCAGCCGACTCAATGCAGACACGACGGTGCGCCCCGTATTCGTCGATGGCTTTGCTATTCCACGCGAAAAGAACTGGGTGCAGACAATGGGCCAGCGGTTGACCGAAGACACTCAGGTCATCCAGAAGGCCGTCTACCTTGGGGAGATCGACGAGGAGAGCTGGGTTCCCGGTGTCTTCTTGAACAAGGCGCTCGCCAAGAGAAATACTTACATCTTCCCCGATGATGATAAATCTCTCCGCGTTCTCGATGTCAACAAGCTCTACGCCGATCATGCTGACCTGTTCAGCAAGGTTGCTGTTCTCGAGGCCAACACTGAGTCGACAAAGGAGACCTGGGCTGTTCTTACTGTCGTCACTGACCTCAACACGGAAGATGGTCAAGATCTTCTCGTTTCTGCCCTTCAGTTCAAGCGTGCCAACCCAGGTCTTCGGCTTGAACTTGTCCATAACCCTTCATCGCCCACTGACGCGCACGCTGTCAACGGTGCATTCAAAACCAACACGGCGAAACTTGCCGAAATCGAAAGCAAGGATGAGCTTAAGGGCATTCTTGAGGCGTCATGGACAGGCGAAGATGATGGATTCGGCAACTCCCTGGCAGGCTTCCTCAACACTGCCAAGATCCTGCCAGGAACAAAAGCCCTCCTTCTCAACGGCCGCGTCGTTGGTCCTCTGCCATCCAATGTCTTGTTCAAGGAGGACGACTTGCAGCAGCTCCTTGACTTTGAACAGCGAAACAGAATCCTCCCTGTTTATGCTGCCATCGAGGACCTCGGTTTCGCGGACAAGCTGTCAGACCCTGTTGCAGCGGCAAAGCTCACCTCCATCACTGCACTCTCCACCATCTCCGACCTTCCACAGGGCATCTTTGAGTCTGCTCCGTCCGTTCGAACCACACTCTATAGCACGTGGGACTCGACACATACCGCAATTGAGATTGGCAACCCAGAAACTGCCAGCATTCATATTGCTGGTCTCCTGAACCCCACCAGCGAGCAAGGTCAGAAGTGGGCTCCAATTCTTAAGGTCTTGTCCGAGCTAGATGGTGTTTACCTTAAGTTGATCATCAACCCAAAGGAAGTTGTGTCAGAGCTTCCCATCAAGCGTTTCTTCCGCTATGTTCTCAACTCAGCCCCCTCTTTTGACAAGGATGGGCATGTCGAGGGCCCCAAGGCTGTTTTCAAGGGCCTTCCCTCAGAGGCTCTTCTGACAGCAGGCATGGATGTCCCTCCAGCTTGGCTTGTGGCTCCCAAGGCCTCCGTTCACGATCTCGACAACATCAAACTCAGTTCCGTCAAGGCCGATGTGGACGCGACATATGAGCTGGAGAACATCCTCATTGAGGGCCATTCCAGGGATGGCAAGCGAGGCGCTCCCCGTGGTGCTCAGCTGGTCTTGGCAACGGAAAAAGACCCTCTTGTAACTGATACCATCATCATGGCCAACCTTGGATACTTCCAGTTCAAGGCGAACCCTGGTTACTACAACATTCAGCTCAAGGAGGGCCGCAGTGCTGACATCTTTACCATTGAGAGCGTCGGCGCCCAGGGTTACTCTGCTGTCCCTGGAGATGAAGGTACGGAGGTTGCGCTTATGGACTTCAAGGGTACAACGCTGTATCCGCGATTGGAACGAAAGCCAGGCATGGGAGAAGCCGACGTTCTCGCAACAACTGATGATGAAGACAAGGGCATTGTTGCAAAGGGCCTCAAGTTCGCCGAGAGTCTCCTTGGTGCATCCAAGACGCACAAGGAGATTTCGGCACAAGAACACGCCGAGATCAACATCTTCAGTGTCGCCAGTGGCCACCTCTACGAGCGTATGCTCAACATCATGATGGTTTCTGTCATGCGCAACACCAAACACACCGTCAAGTTCTGGTTCATTGAGCAATTCCTCTCACCCTCGTTCAAGGACTTTATCCCACACATGGCAGCCGAGTACGGATTCAAGTATGAGATGGTGACATACAAGTGGCCTCACTGGCTTCGTCAGCAAAAGGAGAAGCAGCGTGAGATTTGGGGTTACAAGATCCTTTTCCTCGACGTGCTGTTCCCACTATCACTCGACAAGGTCATCTTTGTGGACGCGGACCAAATCGTCCGCACCGACATGATTGACCTTGTGAACCACGACCTCAAGGGAGCACCGTATGGGTTCACCCCTATGTGCGACTCGCGTACTGAGATGGAGGGCTTCCGGTTCTGGAAGCAGGGCTACTGGGCAAACTACCTTCGTGGCCTCCCCTATCACATCTCGGCCCTCTACGTCGTCGACCTGCACCGTTTCCGTCAGCTCGCGGCTGGAGACCGTCTCAGACAACAGTACCACACCCTCTCGGCCGACCCCAACAGCTTGTCCAACCTGGATCAGGACCTGCCCAACAACATGCAGTTCACCATCCCTATCCACAGTCTTCCCCAGGAGTGGCTCTGGTGCGAGACGTGGTGCAGCGACGAGAGCCTCTCCTCGGCCCGCACTATCGATCTGTGCAACAACCCGCAGACCAAGGAGCCCAAGCTTGACCGCGCAAGAAGACAGGTCCCCGAGTGGACCGTCTACGATGATGAGATTGCAGCACTGGATCAGCGACGTAAGGGTACTGAGGAGAAGAATACCAAGAGCCGGAAGCTAGAGGAGGAGATGCATACTAAGGACGAGCTCTAGATAGAGATAGAGAGGGTATATAGTAGCTGATCTTGGACTAATTTGACTGATTTTTTCTACATATGCAGACAGTTCAATTGTATGAACCTCCTTAAATGCACCATGCTGTCCCCACTTGTCATCGTTCAGGGGTCGAAGCTGAGGAAAGCCTCGTACCTCAACCCATCATGCAACCACTCCCACACATGGGACGGAAATGATCGAATTCTAAGATCTAGACTAGGTACTCGAGCGGCCCAGACTCTTTTTCGATTGGGATGAGAGTCCGGGGTAGCTATGACGGATGAATTCTCGAAGATGCGAACCTCACCCTAAGACTTAGGATCACAGGACCTAATCCTGAGGCATTGTTTACTCACAGTTAGACTCAGTTATAAACATCCTCTTCCCTCATTCTTCCCCTCTTTTTCTTCTTTCTTCTCTTTCACACCTCGTCATCCTTTTCTCTGGTGACGCGGCTCACACCACCGACTCCCGCAACTTCCCTCGCGATTCTGCTCACCCCCTACTCGGCTTCTACCGGGTAGTTGCTGGTCTGGACGTCTTTGGGCATCTGATCTTCAGCAGAGACAACACACAATCGTGCTGAGCTTGATCAAATAGTTGCTCAATGCAACAAAATAGGTGTCAAGATTGATTGCTTTTTAGTTTCCTTGGTGATGCTTTATGTTTCCAGAGCATACACGATACGAGTTGCTTGTCATAGACAAAGCACGTCTTCGTTTGCCAGATAGTTTGTATGCAACGCAAGCCAGATGTAGAAGCAAAGCTGATTCCCTCCTTGGCATGAAAAGCTATCAGGCAGCCTTTGTCTTACTCATTTCTCTTTCTGAAAAGTATTTAAACGAGAGATATCCCTCTCATCTCCTTCTACCTCCTTCCACATTCATCCTACATTTATCCTACGTTCATCCTATATTCATCCCATATTCATCTTATATTCATACTATATTTATCCCACATTCATCCCACCTCAACCCACCTCAACACTTTATCTTTTATAGACTATATTAGCCCGTGGTCAATGCGACGAACACACAGGATAAGCGCATGAACTTAACCTAAACATATAATAAACAGATATTTATAACCTTCCAAGATAAAATATTTAAAATTTTATATTAAAAATATATAATTATTTATCTTATGCTTATGATTACTTTTATCTGATTTAAGGCAAAGTTACTCTTATAGTTAAAGAGGTCGAGGCTAATATCCTCTTGTTAAACCCAGTTAGGCTACCCTAGACCATCGACTTCAACAACCGAGATCGTGACTCTCGCTCGAGGCTCCTTTCCTCATAGGCACCGACACTGCGAAGAGAAACAGGTGCGGTCATAGTAATTAATAGATAAATCAGCGGCGGCATGTGATGACGAGCTCCTGACCCCGAAGAGGCATCATAATAACTGGGAGGAGCATGGCCGCGTGATGGGTTGACGTACGAGGCTTCACCCCAGAGCGGTAAGGACATTTCTTGTTGGTAGTCTGTACTAGCTGCCTACTCATCTCATCCATCTTAGGATTTTGAATAGATAGAACCCCTATTTCCTGGTAACCCATGGCTTATCTCCTTGAAATTGACCGGTTTCATCTCAAAAAGATCACTCCTCAAATGGTTCGTGGACCATCCATGGCCCATGCATGTGTTTGCCCATCATCACCCCAAACCTGCCCCCAAGAAACCCCTACTCGATAAGTGCCATGGGAAAAATGTGGGGCCGATACCTCGCACCTGTTTCGATTGTCTTGATAGATATTTGACTTGTTATGCTGTGTGATGATGCATACCTGCTGTAGCTGGAGACCATCTTTCATGAAACAATCTATCAGGTTCTTCGACCAATTGTCTCTCTCGTCTGACGTGACTATGGGCTCCGATCCGTCATAAATGCCGCGGACGATCCTGTTTCCAATCTGAGCGTCTGGGAGTGCAAAAGCAATGCGTTTGAGAGTGGGAAAGCTCTTGATGGCGAGGAGGAATAGGCGTGCATGTTTCTCCTGATAGCCAGCGAGTTAGTGATATGAGCAATGCCAATGCGAGGCAGGGACGATCCACGCCGAGGAACTTACAAAGAATCGATGTTCAGACTGCGTATTGAATGGACGAGGGGCATTGATGCATGAAGGTCCCAGTACAAGCCATTCGAGTGTTGGAAAATGTCTGGCAATGTCCATGAGAAGGGCTGGGCGCATGGTTGGGTTGACTCGATCGAGGTGCTCAGTTGGAAGGTCGGTGACGTTGACGTTGGTGTCTATCAACAGTGAAAGCCGCTTCAAACTCTGCTGACACCGAGACGCTATCTGTACACTTTCACTTGAAATGCCCGAGTACAGATGTAGCGAATCCAGTCCCCCCTTGGTGGTACATCTACAGATAACCGTGGATGCAAGCATAGGGAGCCCGACGACCCTGAGGTGTTTGACCTTGGGGAAACCTCCCCAGGGGTAAAGGTCTTCTGTGAACAACCACCTCTGAAAGGAATTGAAGTCCGTGAGATTTAGGGCAAGCACATCCCAGATGAGGCCCGGCAGGTCGTACTCCTTGTAGCGATGTTTCCGAGGCAGATCGAGCAGGTTTTCCCATGTAACCCCGTGAGGTCTCATGTACACTGGGGTAACGTGAACGATAATCGTGAGCGACCTGTTCAAGTAGACATAAGTAAAGCGCCCCAACAAGAACTAGAAGCACAGCATACTTGAGGCCGTGTCGTAAGTGATCCACGAGAGTCGATCGGTCCGCCAGGTAGAGCATGAGGTCATCGACAAGTTCCGTCTGAGTGCCTTCGAGGCGGATCTTTTTGAACACAGCATGCATCCAAAGAAGTCGAGCTCGCTTTGAGCAGCTCACGAAACTGAGACGGCTTGTAGCATCCACCAACCCGCTGATGATGGTGTGAACATCGTACGGCAGGTCCAGCAGGCCGCGACGTGGATGATGCTCGTCCATCGCAGTTGAGGCGCCCTCAGGCAAAGTGTGCAGTCTCTTCGGTCGTGACAGTAGAGGGTGAAAGAAAAAGAGAGGCAGTAATGCAAAGAGAGGTGGCGGTAGTGATGATTGAGAAGGATGAACTCGAGAGTTGCGCGGATCGGACGTGGGAGGAGGGCGATGTCCTCATGACGGTGAATCACGGTACCTTGATGTACTTGAGATAATAGAGCACGTCTGGCAAGCGAAACACCGCTGGTCTTGTCGCATAATCTATATGGTAGGAGAGCGGTTGCTTGCTACCGGTGCGAGTCGTCTCTTTTGACCGTGAATCACTGTCAGTTGATAGCTACGTTTGGTCATCCAGCACCCCTTATGAGGCGGGATATTAGAGGGTGTCTACCCCGTAACGCCTGCGATATAATTACTGTACCATGACTGAAAGATATCGAGGACCGCACATGAAGCCTAGGCCCCTGGAAGCAAGCGGTACTGCCATGTCCGTGTCGATTATGAGGTGAAGTCTTCGAAGACCCGCTCGATGATATCCCCACGCTGTCTGTCAGTGCACGCCTTGATTAATAGTAAAGGTATGTAAAGAAACAAGGTTGTTCAATGTGCAAAATCGGTGGATTGCCGCAGATGTGACCTGAGGAATTACTTTCACCATGAGGTGCTGGACCTTGGGAAGATGTCGGGTTTGGGTGGATTGAAGGAGTTGTCTGAAGTGCATTGCTCAATTCGAATGAAGTTCCTCGATATCTAGCTCAAGCGCAGTAATGTTAGGCGCAAGTCTAGGGAGCTGAAAGATAAGGTCCGACAGTACAGATCCTTCGAGAAGCTCTGCTTGCTTATCGTTAAGTAGTCGGCTGTGATGCATCCAGTGGCTGTAGGGCTGGATAGGGGAGGGGAGAACAACGATCTTGAGCGACCTGCTTAAAACGTGGCTGGCAAATGGCCCAACAGAACAATACAAATTACATACTGAGCGTTCTGGCGTACATCTGGCATAGGGAGGGTTTGTGTGTTTGACATGAAGAGTTCAGGGGCATGGGTAAGTCATCTAGGTGTCGTAAGGGCGAATCCTGTTCAACACCAAGATCGCCAGAAGTTGCCGGCTTTGCTTTGAGCAGCTCGCAAGTGCATCTGGAAACCTGCTGATGTTAAGGTGAAGTATTAGGCCACCAAGTGGACGGACGAGGCTTAGTAGCCGTCGTAATTGAGGCGCTCTAGGGCAAAGCGTGTAGTTTCTTTGGTCGCGGCAGTAGAGAGGATAAAAGCCTAAGAAATTTAGCGATGCAAATGTGACAGTGAATGAGATAATAGGGTACGTCTAGTAAGCGAGAGAGCGGTCGTTTGCTTGTGGTGGGAGTTATCTCTTGTGGTCTTGAATTATAGTCACTCCTAATCGATAAAGTTGGTGTTTTTTTTGTTCTCGACTACAAAGCGTATCTTGGTACACGACTTATGACGTCAGTGCTCGCCCCTGGAGCCTTCAGTCCGGGAGGCTGAAGATGCCGAGGGATATGTGGAATGAGTGTCTTTTGTGTCTGAGACGCGGGACGGGTAAGGCCAGTCCAAATGACAGATCCATGGTTTCCTAGATTTCTGGTATTGTTGGCTTCACATGTGTCGAGAACAGGGTTGACAAGGGTATAGCTGTTTAAGCGAGAACAGAACCCAGGAATATGCCCTGGTTTCTCACATTTCAGGGCTCTTGCATTCTGCTTCCCAAGGGCACAGCTTACAGGCCAGGTAATCGAACGATTGTAAATCAGGTACACGGCGTCGCCCGCAGATCCAAGCCATGAGACAGCATAGTCGCAACAAGAAGCCCCGGACGAGGCAAGGCGAGATGGGATTCACATGCCATGTCTCACTTTTTGCTGGTCGAGATTGTCTCAGGCCTTCCCTTGTAGCCTTGTTTAGAAGACAGCTGTCAGTTTCAGGCTTAAGATAGAGAAAGGTATGTAGGAAGAATCCCGTTAGGTTTCGGGGCCTGAAGATGAGTTGAGGCTTAGATTTGAACTCTGGGTGTGTTTGAAGCGGCTGATTACTGATGTCTTGGGTTTTCTTTCTCCTTGCACGATAGGTGTTTTAGCTAGCCACTTTGGCTGCATATTAATTTCCAAGACTTTTTCTCCTTTCTTTTGACAGTCGCTCTCAAGCCGTCTAAATACTGTTGTAATGATCTGGAGAGAGATGTAAATCGGAGCTAGAGTTGTCGACATCCATGCCATCCCGGGGATGGAGCACATTTTAGCTTTTGCTCCTCTGAAGATAAGAAATGAAATTTTATAAAAGCGTTCTAAAGTATGAACATTATTGCCACACGTGTTTGATCATTTTATGATAAGTTAGGTAAATTTATTCCATATGCTTGAGAACCAAGTAATATGTTCTGGCGTCCGCATGGTTCCCCTCGTTACAGTTGCCTTCCTTTTTCCCCACACAGGGCGCCGTGTTCGGCGGGTACCTCGGAAAACCACCACGATGCACGCAACACAAAACGTATCCCCCTATCGTGCGAGAAGGTACCGGGCAGGCCGGGCTTCCTGCACAAGGAACGGGATTGCACTTGCGACTGCAGAACACGGCAGTCACCGCCCGCCTTCCCGTCATCCACCATCCACCATCCAGCGCCCTCCATTTTCCCCCTCCCCACCCACACACTCCATCCACTTCTCACGCATTCCCATCCATTCTTCCTTCTGCCATATCCCATACTCTACTTCTGCATCCCTCGCTTTTTGTGCCCCTTCTCCAGCGATAGCCATCTTCCCCTTTTTCTACTCGACGCGATTCGGCCTCGAAATCCGCCCCGACTTCGATACAGCTCCATCCGCCTCATTTCGCCCGCGCCCTTTCGACTCGACAAGGAGCTTTGCCAAGGGCGATACAACCGCGAGCCTGAATATCCACCCCCGCGCATCAACTGTCTACGACTCTCCACCCAGCGCCAGTTGCCTCTCTTTTTCTCTCGGCCTTTCGCTCTCTCCGGTCGGATCCACTACGCCAGTCTCAACTCGACCCGTCTAGATCTGTCTTGACTTGATCGACGACTTGTTCTTCCACTTCAAGATCTTCGTGTCCCTCATTCCTGTTGGGTTCCATCGACCCTGGTAATTGCTCTTCCGGCAACACGATCCCATCACCCGGGAAGCAGCGTCGCGAACCCTCCGACTCGACCCAGGCATTCCCCCTCAATCGCGATACAAGATACATCCGTCCGCCCACTCTTCTCGAGCGCCTGGCCAGGCCGTCCCGCCAGATGCTGTCGCTATGGATGGCTTCTACCCTCCCAACCAGCTGCATCAGCAGCAGCAGCCCCATCAGCAACAGTACCAACAAGCGCAACAGCAAGGTCAGCAGAACCAGCAGAATCAGATGCCCCCCGGCATGGTGTCCGACCCCTCCCTCATGTCCGGAGGAGAGTCGCTTGATGATATCATAATCGACAACCAGAATGAGCTATATCGTCGACGGAGCATACCTCAAGCCTACGCCACCCCCATGAGCCAATTCCAGATTCCTCAGCAGCAGCACCAGGGACAGAGGCGGATGTCCTCGGTGAATACCGCCGATATGATGACCTTTGGAGCCGACAACGGGGACCTCAACTCCTTTCAGTTTAACCAGCCGATGAATACCGGCTTCCCCACCATTAATACATCCCTCGCCATGCCTGACCAGATGGGCAACTACATGGCGGACCCCAATGAGTACTCAGCCATTTCCCCCGATATGATGGGATCAATGATCCCTTCCACTTTCGCCAACATGAGTGTTGGTGCAGTGGGGGCGCAGATGTCGAACAGTGGTGCGTCCATGAACTTGTACTCACCAGCGGGGAATCCCATGACGGGTCAGTTCCCTCAAGGGCAACTAAATCCCCAGGTCGGGAACGATTTCTCAATGGATCTCACTACGGACGACGGTTCGATGAATGTACCTCAAAATACCGTTCCCACAACGAGCTCGGCTCCCACTCCCGCGATAACCGACATGGAGGCGATAGATGAATCCAACGACAACATGATCCAGACTTTCAACTCAGGGGTAGCCGATACGAACCAGAGCCTCCCGACCCTTTCTCGTCAGGTCTCGACAGCTTCTGGTTCCGTTGTCTCTCCCCCCCAACCGCAATCCCACAATACCATAGCTTCATCTATCACACACCAAACCAGCACTTCTGTCGCGACGACACCCACAAACGCCGGCACCCCTCGAGACTCGAAAGAGAAGACCGTTTACTCCAAGAGTGGGTTTGACATGCTCAAAGCCCTCTGGCTGGTTGCGACACGCAAAGATCCAATAATTCATCTCGGTGCGGTGGACATGTCGTGCGCTTTTGTCGTCTGCGATGTCACCATGAACGATTGTCCCATTATTTACGTTTCCGACAACTTTCAGAATCTCACAGGGTATAGCCGCCATGAGATTGTTGGTCAGAACTGCCGCTTTCTTCAGGCTCCAGATGGCAAAGTCGAAGCGGGCTCCAAGCGCGAATTCGTGGACGATGGCGCCGTGTACAACTTGAAGCAGATGATCCACGAGGGTAAGGAGGTCCAGCAGAGTCTTATCAACTACCGCAAGGGCGGAAAGCCCTTCCTGAATCTCTTGACAATGATTCCCATTCCCTGGGATACAGACGAAATCAGGTATTTTATCGGCTTTCAGATCGATCTCGTCGAATGTCCCGATGCGATTGCCTCGAACCAGGAGCTTGGAGGTGTGAAGGTGAACTACAAGCACAGCGACATCGGTCAGTACATCTGGACGCCACCGCAGTCGAGCCAGTGGGAACCCGAAAACGGACAAACACTAGGCGTTGACGACGTTTCGACTCTATTACAGCAGTTCAGCCCTAAAGGCCTTCCCTCAGACTGGCACAAGCAGTCATGGGATAAGATGCTCCTCGAGAACACCGATGACGTTGTTCATGTCCTTTCGCTCAAGGGTCTCTTCCTTTATCTGTCGCCTGCCTGCAAACGAGTTCTCGAATACGATGCTGCGGATCTTGTTGGCAACTCACTTTCGACAGTCTGCCATCCATCCGACATTGTTCCCGTTACACGCGAGCTGAAAGATACGACTTCTGGCAACCCCGTCAATATTGTTTTCCGGATCCGCAGAAAGCACAGCGGCTACACATGGTTTGAGAGTCACGGATCACTTTTCATCGAACAAGGCAAGGGTCGAAAGTGCATCATCTTGGTGGGACGCAAGCGACCCGTGTTTGCGCTCAGCCGCCGAAATCTCGAGGCAAACGGAGGCATTGGTGATAGTGAACTTTGGACTAAGCTCTCGACCTCGGGCCTCTTTTTGTTCGTCTCATCCAATATTCGGTCCCTACTGGATCTTCAGCCAGAAAGCCTTGTGGGAACGAGTATCCAGGACTTGATGCGAAAGGAATCACGGCCTGAATTTGGACGAACCATTGAGAAGGCAAGACGTGGAAAGATTGTTACATGCAAGCACGAGGTTCAGAATCGCAGGGGCCAGGTTCTGCAGGCTCAAACTACTCTTTACCCCGGAGATGCCTCTGAGGGCCAGAAGCCATCTTTCTTGCTGGCGCAGACAAAGCTTCTCAAGGCGTCGTCCCGCAACATTGCTCCCGCAAGCACCTCGGGCTCCAGATCGATAGCGGCAACCCCAAGGTCGGATAACCAGGCCCATCAGGCAGGTTTCGTCTCGCAACCTGCTGGTGGCGCATTGGCACCTGGTACTCAGGATGCAGCGTTGGCTTCTGACGACAACATTTTCGACGAACTGAGAACCACCAAATGCTCTAGCTGGCAATTCGAGTTGAGACAGATGGAAAAGGTCAACCGCATTCTGGCCGAGGAACTTGGTGGACTGCTCTCAAACAAGAAGAAGCGCAAGAGAAGAAAGGGCGTCGGCAACATTGTGCGAGACTGTGCCAACTGCCACACAAGAAACACGCCTGAGTGGCGTAGAGGACCCAGCGGTCAGAGAGATCTCTGTAACAGCTGTGGTCTCAGATGGGCCAAGCAGGTGAGTTGCAAAGCTACCGGTCATGTGTGACAATACTAACTATATACTAGACTGGCCGGGTCTCTCCACGCAATTCTTCGCGAGGCGGCAACACTGCCAACGGCGATGCTCGAAGCAAAAAGTCCAACTCACCATCGTCGCCACTACACAAGGAGCTTTCCGCTGAGACGCCTAACGCACGAGCTGGCAACGGTGAAGGCGCAATCAATCCTTCGCAACTCACAAAGCAAAAGATCGACAATGGAACCGTTGCCCCCAGTGGCGCCGCTTCAGCCACAGGGTTGAAGCCATCGGCGGTGATGCCACCATTGAGCCACTCGTCAATGCTACCAGCTGGTCAACCGTCGTCGATGGTGTCGATCCAAGAGGAACGTGAGACGAGTCAACCCTGATCAATGAGCGCAACCCTTTCTTTTCTCTCTTCATCTTTTTGTCCCTCAAGGTCGCGATCTGATCACGGAGCTTTCGGAGCCGGGTGTCTTGATTACACGGCATTATGATACCCGCCATTTATTTTCTTCTCGCCTACCCTCGCTCGAAACAGCCCTTGCTCCGAGGATGGCTGCAGGGAATGGCAAGATAGTTGTCACAATATCGACGATGGAACTCAGAAGACGGCACTGAGTCGTCCTTGTCTGATCTTTATTCGGGGAGGGGAACTGATATACCCCATGGTGCAAGCGGTCTGGAATTTCGGAAATGGGAATAGACACGAATATACCACATATACGAGGCGTTTGGGATGAATACTTTGGACGCAACTGGGACTTTGCTGGAGCCCATACATCTTTACGGCCTCGCCATTTCACCGCCTATGGGTACAACTCGACGAGCCAAAGCCTGAAGGACCAAGGGACAAGCGGTTAGCACTACTTCCCTTGATCAGGCTTCGTGTGTATTAGATGAGAATATTGGGCTAGCGTGGAGTTGTGCTAGGCCATGTTGGAATTTTACATACAACCATGTGCAGGAATGTCGAATCATCATGTTGGAGGAGTTTGAGGCTCATGTACAGCAGATACGGGGAACAGCAAAGTAGTCTCAGTTATGAAATACGAAACGAATACGATTTGTCAACCGTCAATTGCATGCTCTAAAGATAATCATAAAAATATAGAAAATTAGGAAGAGATACTTAAAATATCATCCTACCTTATAATAATTTAGACAAATCCACGTCTTATAATACTCATAGGTCTTGACCCTCTCACACTGAACACGACGATGCTTTCATCTTGAACAAGATAACTCTAGCTTTGAATTAAAGGCGCCAGGTGGTGTTAAGTATATATCCTACCTAATCAAAATGCCCCCTTGTTTTGCCTCGACGCCAACACCGACGTCTTCTATCCCTCTTCTTATTCACTCTCAAGCCCTAGCAGCTTGCAGCGTGACTCTGGCACGACAAACGCTCCAGCCTCGCGGCCTCTTCATCGGGCATGACAACCTCCACCCTTCATGTCAACAGTCCACAAACTTCCGAGCATCTACACAACACTCGTATCGCCGTCGAGGCTTCGTAGCGAACTGGGCAACTTGCCTGCTGGCGGGCGTTTCGTGGCAGCTTTTGGTATCATCTGGAAACAGAACTATATGTTCCTCATAAACTTGCACGCTTCTCATCATATGCTTGCTTTTTGACCCTTGTGCATCATGCCGTGAAGTGATAACTCCGTGGAAACAGAGTCCACCCCATGTCGTGACGGTCCCGGATACGGGGCTTCATGTCACTCCCAAACTAGTTGAAGAAACCCATGATTGTCCGCTGAGACTCGGGTGAAAATTGTTGCAATAGCGGCGTAGGGTCCACGCCCGCTGTTGTGAGAAGTGCCTTGGTTGCCACAGCCACACGGTTGGCCGTCTGTCCAACGAGGGTCTCCGCCTCGAGGGCCTGGGCGATGAAGACAAAGATCTTGCCAGCCTGGTTCATCACAGCTGGATGTTGCCTATTGATACATGGTTAGCTTGTCCGTCACACACCACATGATAGTTCTGATATGTGAAAACTTACTGGTCAATCAGCTCAGCGAGATAAGCATAAGCATAAGGCGCCGCCTCTTCGTCGTTGGTCACAGGCAACGTCTCTACCCATTGAGTAATGACGTTCTGGACATCACCGACAGTGCTGGCGTTGTAGTGCAGGATCTTGGCAATGGCTGCGCAAGCATTCTCGGTCGCATACACATTGTCCTCGTTTCGGGCATCTGCCACCTGGGTGACCTGGAACAGGAAGGGAACGGAGCCTCCAAGGAACTGAGCCCAGGGGGCCCCACCCCTGTGCGCAGCAACTCCGATACCGTAGGCTGCGGCCTGGCGGATAGCTGCTGAGGGGTCCCGGCAGCCATCAATGAGCGGCTGGGTGATGTAGTTGGCGTATCGTGTGCTCTCCGGACCGCAATACTCCAGCACATCGTCCATGATGCAAAGTCCCCACTGGCGTTGAGTAGGGTCGGGGGAGGTCAGGAAACCCTCGTAGGTCGTCATCAGACGCTCCCAAGCGGGAAGGAAAGCGGCGCCATGGTTCTTGAAGATGGCATGGAAAGCCTTGTTCATGTCAGACAGGAGGGTCTGGTCGTCCTCGATGGCGATCAAGGTATCTTCAGCCTCATCCTCGACATCGTCAGCGGTAGCTCCCTCCTTATCCTCAGCTCGCTGGGCAACACGGTCCTTGTAATCCTCAATAGCCGAGTGGACAGAGTCAATAAATCGGCCCAAGTGGACGGGCGTCAGGCAGTCCTTGCCCAGAACCTCAACAGACTCGTAGAAGCACTGGTACATTTCGGCCAGGGTGTCGATGGCAGGCTCGGCAGTCAGAACCTCGAGGAGCTTGTCAACAGTAGCAGCCCAGAGCCCACGGAGCTCGTTGGATTGGGGGCCATAGGCCTTCTTGTAAGAGCTCAGCAGCTGGGGAACCAGCTTAGCGGAGATGTAGCGGACGGGGTCGTGGAAGAAGAAGGCAAGACCGGGCAGGGCAATCTTCTCCATGATGTTAGCGACATAGGGAGCAAACGAGGCCTCGAGGACTTGAGCATAGACGACCAAGAGCTCGATAGCCATATGCTTATCGTCCATGGTGCTTGTCTTGATGCCAATCATCTTGCCCTTAAGAGGAACCAGCTCCCAGCCCTCCTCATTCTGCATCTGCTCAACCTGCTCATCATCATCCAGAAGCTGGATGTCAGCCTTGGCCACAGCAAGCTCCAACAGGGGAGGCATGACATTGTGTAGGAATGGGAGGAAATCGGACCCGAGAACACGGCACATCCGGCCCCAGCAATGCATAAGATATTGGGCTTGCGGATCGTCGGCATCGGTGATGCTGGTCTGAATGTTGGCAAGGAGGTTGACAAGGGTCATAGCATCTTGTCCGAGGCGCTCCTTGCCGACGGCCAGGGCAATCAGAGTTGCGCACTCCATAGCCTTGGCCCTCAAAAGGCGGTATTCCTTCTCGCTCTGGTTCTGGAGCACGTTGACGAGCAGGGGCATGAGGGTGTCGTAATACTTGGAGAAAGCAGCCTCTGCAGCGTCGGCGATGGTAGCGATGGTGGAAAGAGCTTGCTCCTGGACATATCGCTTCTCGTTCTGGAGGAGCTGGAAGAGGTGTGACAGGAGGTCATCCAGGTAAGGCTCCAGGATGGTCTTCTCGGCCTCCTCGCAAAAGTTGACGAGAGCAGCAGCGGCGTGCGACTTGACGCGGCCCTCGGGGGAGTCGAGAACAGGAATTATGGCCTTCAGGACGCGGTCATAGTAGTCGGTCTGCATCTTGGGAGCAAAATCGGTGCTCATCTGTCCAAGTGCGTTGCAGCCAGCCCATCGCACACGGGGGTGGGGATCTCGGAGCGCGGGGACCACCAAGTCAAGAACCTGGCTAAGCTCGCCGATCATGAGGTCTCGGCAACCCTCAGAAATGGCCGAGATAGCCATTAGGGCAGCGTGTCTATCCCTCCAAGCCATAGAAGTCATCATGCGAGGGAGCCAGTTGAAAGTGGGAGCAAGAATGGTCTGGCCTCCAAGCTTGTTGGCCAGTCGATCCATCGTCTGCTCGCCAGCAACATGGTTCTGGTCGCTTTCATCCTGATCAAACTGGAGCATCTTGTTAGTGCTGAACAGGAAAGTTAGGCCGGTGCATAATATGCACTTACATCATCCGATTCCATCCACTCAGCAGCATCGTCGTCGTCCTCGCCGAGATCGGTCATGAGGCTCAGACACTGAGTGATCATGTCGTTGGTATAAGAGGGGTCCTTGCGGCAGACAGAAGGGGCGTAGTCGGCAAATGTGGCCATGAGTTCGAGAGCATTTTGGCGGCAGATGTTGTCCAGCTCCTTGTCCTGAACGACCGAAATACTGAACTGAACTAGATTTTGGAAAAGAGGCTTGAACATCTTGGGGGCAGATTCTGCGAGATCGATAAGAGCAACGAGGGCCTTGCTGAGGTCGTCGGAGTCTTGCGACTCCTTGATCGGAGGTAGAATGTTGAGGACATCAGGGATAAGGGCGTAGTACTTGGCCTGGCCCTTCTTGTTGATGGTGCGGAAGAAAGAGGCAAAGGCCTCCATGGCCGCCAGACGGACCTGCAGCCCTGGTTAGCAGCGCTATGACATGTAGGTAGAGGGACAAAGAAATTGCCCCGCAGGATGTAGTGTACCATGACGGCCTCATCCTTGAAGCCCTTCTGGAAAGCCTGAAGAACCGCCTCCTCATGTTGCTTCTCGATAATAGCGGGAGTAGTAGCAAAGACTCGGAAGGCGTTTTCTCGCTTTTCGGGCTCGGGAGCTTGGCTAAGCTGGAAGAGGGCGCCTAGCAACTCGGGCCAGAGCTCGCCTGTTGTCTCGGTGTTAGCCAGGGCGGCGCACAATGGAGGGTAAAAATTTCAATGTGGTCGGATGCTTACCAGTCTCAGTGTATTGCCTAGCAACCTCGGCGACAGCATCGCTGATCTTGTTGCGAATGAGACGCTCAGATTCGGCGGCGAGGGTCTCGAGAAGCTTCTGGCGGATCACTGCCGCCTGGTCCTTGGCCAGGGACAGGAAAAGATCCACGTTGTCGCCAGATTCGATCTTTCGGGTCTTTGAAGCGATTCGGCGGAAAATGACAGCGGCAAAGGAACGGGTCGCATTGTCGCCCGCAGCTTGGATCTGCTCAGCGAGGCCCATCAACAGGACCTCGGGTCGGGTCGCAGTCCAGTTGTTCTGCAGGTGCTCTTCAGCCTGGGATCGTATGGTGTTATCCGAGGACTGCAGAGCCTGCAGGAGCTGTGAAAGCTCTGCGTGGACGTCCGGAGGGAGCAGAGACATGTTTGTGGAGGGTTGCTGATGGTGATGTCCACCAGCAGACGACGAGAGCGACGGAGGTGGGATTCAGTCGGTCGGTCGGTGGGGGAGGACGAGAAGAATGAAGAGAAAAATGCAAGGAAAGAGGTGACCAAGGAGCGAGCCGTTGCTGGGCGCGGGCCTTTACGCGTCGCTGTTACAGGACGAGAGAGAGTCTAATTCCGAAGATTCCCAAGATGTGGGAGGTGGTGGGAAAGAAAGTGAAGAGGAGGGATGGATGGAGCGAGAGCAGGGTGGGGGAGGGGGAGCCCAAGGTCGAGGGTCGTGGCCAAGTACCGCGCCTGCTATTTCTGCGGGGGAGGTACCTGTGTTTGAACAACAGCCCAAAGAAAAAAAAACAAAGGCGGAGACGTTGGCCAGTCGTTAGTGCAAATAATTCTCAAGGGACCACCTGGTGGGCATGGTCACCTTTTTTTTCTTTTATCATGGATCGCTATCGATAGGCAGGGACTCGGTGCTATGGTTTCTTTGAGTTGATAGACAGGCACGCCAGCACGTCAAAGACTTGAGTGAGTGAACATTCCCAGGTTCCCAATATTTCGAAAGTGACCGCCGAGGTTGATGCAGGATTTGCATCTTTTCGTTGGATAGGCAGCCAGTGGTAGAGAATGGCGACCACAACACCAAACGTGTGACCAATGGGCGAAGAGCACATCGTACAAGAGCTCTTGGGGACCAAGAAATAATTGGCCAAGTTTTTTTTCTCTCCCTTTGACAGCTCGAGTTGGGTGGGAGGCGTTTTCCAACTCAGAGTCGCCCCACTTCATCACTAAGGTGTGTACACTAGCATTATGCCTGCAAATTTCCCAGTAATTCTGTTAGTGGCCTGTCACGACGAACAACCACTTAGGTACACATTGCCATTGGATATCCGAGTATAAAGGAGTTGCAAGCAAACATATCAGCATAGTTCTGAATATTAGTACTATGTATTTCTAGGCTTCGTTGAGTAAGGGCGGTTCAATGCTTCCTATCCCTCTATGGCACATGACCGACATTGTGGTTCGATTCATATGTTAGTGCGAGTTGGGAAGTATGGGAATATCGTGACGAAACACCAGTTGCGCATTGCGTGTGCCCCTGATACCCTGCATGGTTAATGGATGTTAGCAGTACAGTATAGTTCTTATCGACGAGGAACGTTCACTGCTATGCATTATTGATAGCTAGTCGGTAATCCTACGCTCCGGTTCCATGTGTCCATGATCCATCACCTCCACAACTATAAGTCACCCACATCAAGTACGCGCACGCAAGGCTGAGGAGCGTTGACAGGTGCATGCCAGATAGGGTTCGCAATCGTACATTGGTGCAATGCCCCGTGAAGCCTCCATCCATGCAACTTGGTTCGTTGTAGATAAGCCATGCCAACGCCTACACCTTCAATCAACACATGGCGCCCGGCTTCTTCCTGTCAACGCTCCCCGTCATCGAACCAGTCCCAGACTCGGGGCTGTAGCTGGAACCCGAGCTTCGGGCACGGGCTGTGGATGGTGGACAAGCAGGGGGGGCTCCTTGTCAATCCCGCACTTTTTTGCTCGCCCAGTGACGTCTCGATCTTTGTGAGTGATCCGTGATAAGCTCCGACGGATCAACTGAGGCGTTGCCCAGACACGGCACTTTCTAGGATGGATCTTCAGGTGTTGAGTGTGCATCATTCGGATGCGGGCGTCAATCCTGGTCGATAGCTACCGCGTTTTGCAGCAACATGGTGAAATAATTGGTGATGGGCGATCTAGTGTCACATTTCTAGCAATTCCAGCATTGATTTAATTTTCGGCATATCTACCGTTGATTTCCCTAGCCCAACCTCTGTGGACATGGATGTTCTCATCCCTCCATCGCGGGGCACTCCACCAATCCCATGGCTATGTCATCATGCAAAAGGCCGCCCCGCCCAGTCATCACTTTGGATTGTAACCTCGTGCCCCTCGCCTGTTTCCAGACCAGCCTCCGCCGCAATAACCATTCCACCTCTCTCGCCGCTCAGTCAACCTCCTCCCTTGGCAGTCGTCCTTCTGACTTTTGAACCTATCCTGACCCCTGGCCTGTGACTCTTGTCGAGATCTTGAATTCTGGCGCATCGCATCCATCCATCGGAGCTCAGCCCCTCCTTCTCACGCCGCGTCTTGCCCCGCCGTCTCCAGTCCAGTCCCTCTTGTTCCCTTGCCCACGCCATCCCATACCTTTCATCAGCCATCTGCCCATTGTCAGTCGTCGCGACTGAAAGCCTCCATCACCTTATCATATATTACCTGATTTCAGTCCAGCTCTCTCGCCTTCGCCAGCTGTATCGCTCTTCTCTCCAAACTATCAATCAAACTACCAATCTCATACCCATCAGTCAATTCATCGCGGGGACTAAACACAACCTCTGCCATCATGGACCCTCCATCATCGAGCTCCGGCCCTCGAGAGCTCAAGGACGCCCGCGCGACCAGCTCAACCAGCCTCAACAGCGCCGTGTCTAACTCGTCAGCCTCCCATAAACCTCCCTCCTTCTCCCAACGATCTCCATCCGTATCCATATCTGCTGGCTCTGGCCAGAGCGCGGCCAAGTCCGCCCATCGCCAGAGCTTCGCCGAGAACCTGCGCAATGCGCCATCTTCGCCCCGCTCCCAGCGCCATCCATCCTTTACCCAGGCAGCCCTTCAGGAGCTTCTCAACCACCCTCCCGCCGGAAACAAGCACGCGAATCCGAAATTCGCTGGTCGTGACTGGCGCGATGTCGCGGTCGGGGAGCTCGTGATGCCCGAGGACGTCAAGTGGGTGGAGCTCGACAACAGCATCGAAGAAGCTACCAAGGTAAGCTATCCAACGCGCCCCAAAAGATGTTGCAGCGATCGCAACACCATGACCTTCTGTTCCGTCATGCTAACTGCAGACTTAATAGCTCCTCCTTAAGAGCACCACCAATGTCGTTCTAGTCCGCGAGGATACTTCCACCCAAACCGCCACCTCCACCTTCGACTACACTGATCTCAATTACTACCTGCTAGTCGTTGTCGGACTCGCTAAACCCGAGGAGGACCAGATCGAAATATTCAACTCGATTCTATCCAAGGCCCAACAGGGGGGTGAAATTCCCCTTCGAGACGTCATGCCCCTGTTCCGCAAGGAATCGCTGGTCACGCTGCCTGGCAGTGAGAACCTCGCTCAGGCCATCCAGATCCTCGGCAGCGGTATTCACCGCTTGTTGGTGACAGCACCTAACGGCGATGTCGTGGGCATCGCAAGTCAGCTACGGATCGTCGAGTTCTTCTGGAATGAGGGCGTCAACTTTGCCTCGATTGACCGGCTCTACCCTGTTATGCTTCGGGATCTGGGCATTGGTACAAAGGATATCGTCTCTGTCAAGTGAGTTGCACATTGCACAATAATGATTCAATAGCTAACTGGGTGAAAGCTCTGACTCGCCCTTATCCGAAGCTCTCACTCTTATGAACAACGAAGGCCTCACCAGTGTCGCCGTGGTCGATAACGGTCTGAACGTGGTGGGCAATATCTCGACCAAGGACGTTCGACACTTGACCAAGAGCTCCAACGCGCATTTACTCAACTCGTCATGCATGAACTTTATCTCGGTGATCCTGAACGAGCGAGGCGTCGAACATGGCCAGGACGTTTTCCCCGTATTCTATGTCAACCCCTACTCGACTCTAGCTCACACAGTCGCCAAACTTGTTGCTACTCGATCGCATCGGATGTGGGTGGTAGAGTCGGCGTCTCCTTCACCCTCAGCTCCTGCGACACCCTTGATGGGACCTCAGGGATTCACGAGCACAGCTGCACAGCCGCCGCCCGTTGTGCAGCCCGCACCCAGTGCGCCTGCGAATCCCACACCTCCATCGCCCGTTGTCGCTGCAGCCATACCAGCATCCCCGGTCCCCCAGTCCGCAGTGCCCGCTTCTGCCATGGCGGGTGCACGGCTTTCGGGCAGGTTGAGCGGCGTCATCTCGCTGACAGATGTGCTTAACATGTTTGCGAAGTCGACGGGTCTCAATCCTTCAGACCCTGGTGAGCAACGAGCACGACGGAGACGAAGCTCCAGCAGTTCGGTGCGACCCAGCTTCGAATCATCGCGTGCGAGCATCGACCTACGGAGGTGATGAGGATATTGACTTTTCGTCTCGATTTGATTTCCGGAGTTCATTTGACTACTGAGGAGTATCGAAAGGTAACAACCAGTTCTTTGCGATTCTCGATTTTATTGATCAAAGACCGGACAATGCTATCTATGGTGGAAACATGAGTCTCCTGTCTCTATAACGGATTCCCCTCGCATTGGGGAAGGCCATTGTCGACCTCGAGCTCAACGTTGCCCCTGGTTGGTAACCGAAACGGGTGTGCGCCTAATAGCAAAGAGCATGCGCAGGACTCGATCCATCTTATACATATCATACACTCTCTGGAGACTGTCATGGCTCGATTTTACTGGGTTATCTAGGAGGGAGCGCAAATTGGGGACATAGGGGATATTGTGCCGTATCATTTACATACCGTATCAAGTATGAAAAGGCTAGCATATGCGAGGCTGAAGTAGAATTTGACAAGCTGTCACTGGTCCCTCTATTGTGTCTGTGTGGTTGATGTGACTCGGCGTGGTTGATGCATCCCAAATGAATTCTTTAGCTTCTCCTCCTCTAAGGATAATAGCCAGAGTATAATGAAAATAAGGGAAAGAAGCTCTAAAGTTTTACCCTTATTATGATCTATCTTTAACAGAGGTAACCAGTCCTCTTAATGTTCTGCGTGTCGGCGTCGTTGATGCTTCTTGAGCTTCTTGAGACTGAGATACGTACCAGCCACTGTCGCTCCCTTCGGTGGCTTCTCCGGCGGCCGTTGGATCCGAGATCCCTTCTGGGCTCGTGGCGCAGATTATACTTCCTAATTGGCCACACCCCCGCTATTCTTCGCCACTGGAGGCCGACCCTCACAGCCTCAACGCATCACCACTGCAGTCTCGACGTTTCTTCCTCTGCATCTTTGACTCACTAACTTGACGTTTCTTCCTGTCACCGTTTCTATCCTTTGCTCGTCTTTTCAACCTTTGTTTCTTTCGTCTTTCAACTTTTCTTTATTACTCGTTCTAACGTAGCCAACTGTCTCTTGCGCTATTTCACACGTTTTTGCTCTGCTTGACTCGCGCCATTTCGTCAGCCCGATCTCCGCATTCAATCGATCGCTGGATTCATCACTCATCTCCAAGCGGCGATATACAACGCGCGAGGATCATATCTGGCGACTTTCTATCATAGTATTCTGGCATTCACGGCTCATTAGCCCCTGTTTCGATTCCTGATACTCCAGTTTTTTGGATTCGATCTGTCGACGGAGGAAGCGGCGAATTACGCATCCAGGCCATTCATCATTTCCATTCGAAAGATACACTCTTATTCAAGGATTTTCTTCTGGTCTGTCGCATTTTGACGCCTCCTCAACGTCCAACAAGAGACGTCCCGGGCCCTGACGCGCCAGTTACACGCTGTTCAGCCAACTTATATGTCTATCTACGCCTGTGACTATCACAATGGCATCTTCACCGACTATTTCAGCAGACGAATCGTCTTACGAACCACCTGGTAGTACCAAACTACTGGACCAAATGGCCTCGGATGAAAAAGGCCCACTCAAACTCGGAGACTTTACTACAAGATTGAACTCGGAACATCTGTCTCTTTGGGCATCTCCTCCACCCGATCGACCCGTAAGCCTTGGGAATTTTCAGCGGCTCTTTCAACGCCTTGGCGTCAAGGATCCCAAGGATTCCCCTCGTGTTCAACCAGCTTCCCCTCCGAAGGCGACACCAATCACTATTCTAAAGCGGCCTGTTGAAGCATCTTCGACTATTCAGCCCATTGCTCTGCCCAAGGCCACAGACGAGCCCCAAGTCGACCCCATCACTGATTCAGAGACCGGGTCTGGCTCTGACTCTGATTTACTGCCGGGCAAGGCATACTCAACCGCCGCATCAACACCCCCAAGCTCGACCGAATCTCCGCTCGAGAACTTGGCCAAACAGAAAAAGAAGAAGGCCAAGGCATCTAAGGCCAAGGAAAAGTCTCATCATAGAGACACCTCGCAGTCCGAGATTGAAGTCATCGACAATCTTGAACCTCAACAACCCGAACAACCCCAACAGCTCCGGCACCTCCTCATCACATACCAATATGTTAAATACGGCCCCACGACAGATATCTACGGCCACGCAGAGTCAGCCGAGGTTAAACACGAGTCTCTTTTGACCAAGCTTGTTCACCAGCACATCACTGACTCGACATTAAGCAAGGAAGCCCCAGAGGTGGCCTCCAACGGGATTCATGTCTTTATCGACATGTCCAACATCATTATTGGCTTTCAGAAGGCTCTGCGAGCGAGATATTCTCTCCCAGAGTCTGTACGCTTCATTCCGCTCCCTCAGATGAATCTCGAGTTCTTTCACAAGCTCCTGGTTCGCGATCGGCATGCGGAATGGCTCAACGTTGGGTGCTCTATGCACCCCGACAAACAGAAACCCCATTTCATCGAGGAACTGGAAGACCTTGGTTACCGGGTCGATCTCCGCAGCCGCCGTCCGCAGAACATGGCTATGGAGGGCCACGGCTCCCGCTACGTCGAGGACATGGTGGACGAGACGCTCCAGATCCGGATCGGCGAGTCGGTCATGCAGTACTTTGACAAGCCCGGCACGCTCGTCCTAGCCACCGGGGATGCCCGGCCGGCCAAGTACTCGGACGGCTTCCTCGCCTACGCCCAGCGAGCCCTGAAAATGGGCTGGAACGTTGAGGTGGTGTCGTGGAGGTCGAGCCTCTCGTCTGCTTGGAACGGCGTGTGGAAGGAGGAGGGCGTCGGCTCTCGGTTTCGTGTTATCGAACTCGATCAGTTTCTTGATGAACTTTGGATCTGCTAAGCGGCTCGTCTAGGTGTCTTCTGAAATAGGAAGCACATCTTGGTGAGAGGTTGACAATAGACATGATCTCGCGATTGGTGCCGTGAGTGCATATCTCGAGGTCATCTGTCTTTGCCAATGCCATAGCAGGGAACCATCTTTTACAACTTTCAACGCTCTTTGCGTATCATGTATATGATGCTGACAGGTCTCTTGGAGGCTGACGAGCACGAAACCTTATGTGGAGGGCAAAAGCATTTGCTTATGAACCATGTGTATAACATGGTGATGACTGGGTGGGATGTTGGGTGGATTGACGAGGATTCGGGATGATGATGATGTCTGATGATAGATGTTCTACTCAGCTCGATAGCATCGAGTTATATATCACCAGATTCTTCTCTGCGTGGCTGATTCACCGTGAGCTTGAGACTATCTTTGCATAGGTAGATGAGTGTGTGAAGCACGAATACTGTTGCTCGTGAATCACGTACGATATTCTACTCTGTTGTTTACCCCAACACCCATCTATCTTGTCCAGCCTCAGGATAGCATCTTCAAATAGATAGATTAGACTACTCCTTAACCTAGGCATAGAGTAATACAAGACTTCTAGACCACGCGATACCTTTGCTCAACTTGAACGTTTCTGAGATGGCAGTCATCAGATCAACATAGCTGCCCCCTGAATATGCTCAGAGCGAGGCTCTCCAAGACGACATATCTTTTCAGAGCCAATATACAAGGGATTCATGTGATTTAAAAGTGCATAATTCTGATCCATTCAATTCATTCAAGTATAATACAAAACGATATTCTTTTCGAACCCTTCGAAGACAACAACAGCCAAAGGGGATAGGAACAGGCCGTCAACAGTCCAAGCCCATACCCAACCACTAATTTTCGAGTGTCTCGCTACTGTAAACGTCTCCTTCTTTTTCGTTTCTGCTGTGGCTGAACGTCCAATGTCCATTCCCATCCCCTGGCGACATAACAGGCGCGTACAGTCCCGCCATACGACGGAGGGTGCCCAAAGTCATCCACAATCGTACAAGATGAGCAACATCCAAAAAGAGCATAAGAAAAGTAAAAAGGATAAAGACGTGAGTGTTAAGAAATCGTGTCAACGGACAAAAAACATCATCGGAACCTCAACTAGTCGGACGACGAAACAGCGCCGTCAATGCCCCAGTATGGCTCAGCGTTGAAGGACCAAGCCTCCTCCTTCTTCCAGGGGTCGTTGAAGGCGGAGAAGAGAATGAGGTCCTCCATGTGGTCGGCAAAGGCCTCTTCTATGGCCTTGATGGCCAGCTTCTGCTCGGCCAGACCTGGGACAGCGAGTCCGTTGGCCTTACCCTTGACGGGCCAGCCACTCTCGCAGACGACAATTCTCTGGTCCTTGGGCAGCTTGGCCTTGAGGTCGTCGATGGTCTTGGAGAGCCAGACACCGGCCTCGCCAGCGGAGATGGTAGAGTCGAAGAAGGCGTGGGCGTTGATAGCGCAGTAGTCACTCTCAGCGCAGAGCTCGGGGTTCGCACCGGCAGCAACAAAAGTATCGACAGTGACAACAGGGCCTTCGTATCCGGCGGCACGGAGGATCTGTCGGGCCTGCTTAACGGCGCCGAGGACCTTCTCAGGGCTAGCCTCGCCCTTGTTGACGAGCTCGTTTCCGACGCTGATGGTGCTAACTATGGACCAGTCGCCGTCGACGCCATCAATAATCTTCTGGGCCTCCTCCTGAACAGAGTCGAGATCCCAGATGCCGAGGAACACCTTCATGTTGTTCTCCTTGGCGCAAGAGTAGACGATGGGCACCTGGTCACAGTCGGTGCCGTAGATACGGATAAGCGAGTAAGAGCCTCCAAGGCGGTCGAGATCATTCTTGACCTGATCCTTGGTCTTGCACTGATGATCGCGACGGTAGGGGGCGTACGAGATACCAGGGAGGCCGGAGCTGCTGTTCTTGGGGCCGGATGGAAGACTGGGAGGAGTATAACCGCCAGTCTCAGTGCCAGTGGGAGTAGAAGTGGCACGAGCGATGGTCTGGGTATAGGTAGCCGCAGTGGTAAGAGTAATGGTGGTGAGGCTAGAGTATGGTTAGTATCTTGAGCGACGTTTTCAGCCTCAACAGGACAACCTACACCTCTGGCTCCTCAATATGGAAACCTAAAGTCATTATCAGTCTTGCTCTAGCTCTCTAACTTTTCCATCAACATACCAACAGGCAGCGCGGAGACAGTAGCCGCCAAGGCCACAGCCGCAGTAAAGAACCGTCCCAAAGTCATTATTCCAAAGGTTTAGGTCGTATGTCAGTGTGGTATAGGTGGGTGGGTGTACAATAGTCAAGATAGTGAGTGAACAGGCTACAAAGAGAGGCCCAAAAAACGACAGTGAACGAGAGAAAAACGACAATAGAAAGAGTGAGTGTAATGAAGACGGGAGTGAATAACCCGCTATCCAAGAACGAAGGAAGGAGAAAAGAGAATGACAAGAGAGCGAAAAGAGAGAAAGCTCTATAGGAAGTGGATAAAAAGATGAAATATTTCAAGGTTAAAAAGCGAATGAATGAGTATGAAGAAGAAGAGAAAGAGAAGAGAGAAAAATAATGCAAGGGGGGAGGGAGGTGGTTCTTAGGTGCGAGGTAAGGGAGGAAGGGAGGGCACGTGTCGGGCAAGACTCCAGCTCAACTCCAGGCTGAGTCGACTTGGCTTGACTGTCGCGGTACAAGATGGGGGAGGAACTGATCAACAAAGCATTTCCTCTATTTTTCGAGCCTTGACTTCATCTTCTTATATATTAACTCTCTTTTCTATCTCTTGTCGGCCTAGAATCGTCGAGTTCCAATCCCTTCCGCACGCAGTCTAATAACCTCATTCGCCCCTCCCCAAGCACCATCATCACCTTTTCATCCGGAAGCAAAAAAGTCATAGATCCTCAAGCGAAGAGTACAAGACCATATCTTGCGTAACAATACGCGCCTGGAATGGAACGCCTCTTCTGTTGTCACCGAGTGCAGCCCAAGCCTCGTAATCTCCCCAAGGAATGCACAATCTGAGACCTGGCAGTTGTCCAGCTGAAGGTCTCAACCCACATAACAAGCAATCTTTCTTTTTCCGTCTCCCCTTACTTGATCCGATTTCTTTTTCTGCAGGACACAGCAAACCTGGTTCGTGCCAAGCTGTCGGACTGCAGATGTTGAGAAGTGAGTGTGGGCAAGACATGCTTGGCAAGGGAGAGTCACGACTAGAGCTGCAGGTACAGTGAGAACTGAATCACTCACTCAACTACTAAAGATGGATCCATTGTATGATGTAACATTTTGAAAGACATGTGCCAAGTCATCTGCAATTACCCTGTTGTTTCCCAATGCTCGTAGACGACGATGCTCAATACCATGAACAGCAAAACAGCCATTCACGCATCGCTCCCCAACCCTCGCTACGTGCACCATCCACGTAACTCGAATACTGTTCATTGTATCGGTTTCGATTTCTGCTTGAAATATGAGGCATGTAGTAGAGGAAATTAGACCAGTTATCTGCTGCTTTCCATAACGTTATCACATACGAATCCTGCCCACCACCTGAGCTAAGCTCGACGTCCATCAAATCTGCCCCTGAGTGTAGGAGCGACGTGCTCGCTTCACGTCTCTCTCTTCGCCCCCCTCGTCCTCCTCACTGGCTTCCTCTTCATCATCGCCATCGCTGTCTTCATCACCATCGTCCCCGGAATCCTCTTCATCGCTGCCCTCGTCGTTGCTGTCGTATAGGTCCTTGACGGAAGGCTCCTCATCTAAATCATCCACAGAAGAATCAGAATCTTCGGCGAAGTCTAAGCTACGTGCCTGGCCCTCGTCGTCCTGGTCGCCGAACAGTGCTCTGAGGCCGAGATCTTTGAGGTCACAGAGGCGGGACTCGGCATTGTTGTCATCGCCTCGCGCGTTGATGGCCCGCTAAATCTATAATCAGCACGAGCCCGAGTCACGAGGGAAGAAAATATGCTCACATTGGAGAGGGGAGGCGGGACCTCCTACTCAAGGAGAGCCGCGCGAGCCTCGGCGTTTTCAGCCCAGATTCATCTTTTTCTGGCGAGGTTCGCCATCGCCTCATCCCTCAGCGGGTCCCAGTTCTTCCAGCCTAGTAGCTTGAGGATGTCGGGTCTGAACGCAGGTGAAGGCATGATGAATGCTGTGGGTGGAATTGTTGTTGAATAGGGGCCTTCGTGGATGGTGTATGTGGCATCCTAAGACTTAGGATCACGGGATATCATCATAAGGCTTTACTTTCTCAGCTCCTCAGGTATCGATTCTCTTCTCTCTCTCCTGTTCATTTTCTCTCTTTCTCTTCAATCTTTCTTCGAACCCCGTTCGCGACGTGGGGACATCACCTTCAACGGCGAAAGACTCTGGGGCTATGACTCGGGGTCAGACAGAACGCATCTAGAAGAGGGTTATCCGCATACAAAACGATCGGATGAATCACTTCCACACGATCGGAACCGTCCTGATTTCCCGAAAGCCCGGCAAGACCGATGAGAGGGTGGACGTCTCCGTCACCCAATCATGCCCACTGGGAACATATGCAAGACAGACGTCTGCCCACGGCCACCGGCCAGTTTCTTATACGACGATAGTTTATAGGCCCACAGCCCTCTGACGGAAAAGCCCAGTGGCGGCCTCGGTACTGCAAAGAGCGATTTCCTCAGCAGTGACGAGATGCGCGTGCGAAGAAAGGACATTCCGACGAAGTGGCACGAGAGGGCCACAGAACGAGATCTCGAGGCATACCATGAGCTTAAGAGGGATGAGAGACGGCTCCTAGAGCGCAACCGCCCAACGTCGTGCGGACCAACGCGTCAGGAAGCGTGCCGTCAAGGAGCGACGACATGTATGCAAGACGTGCAAAGGGAATTTCGCCACAGCTGCAGCCTTGACGGCGAAGAAGGCATTCTATCGATGCAAAGTATGCGGGAAGGGATGCCCCTCTACAAGCATTTCCGGAACACGCGCCGACAATGAGCAGCGTTCTGCCGATCAAGCCAAACGCCAGTCAAGTCAAACGTCGGAACTCTCCGAGAATGGATCTCTAGGAGCTTGGAGCCGCCGATGCCGAGATGAAAAGACGACGTAAAGATGCTCCCAGGAGATGGAGAGAGAGGGCGAAGATGAGAGATGAGGCAGGGTGTCTCAAGATGAAGAGAGATGAGAGAGCACTACATCTTCTGAGGCACCCAGATGCCCAGAGGAAGGCCGACAAGCGGGTTCGAGAGCGTGCCTTGATTGAGAAACGACACCGATGTAACGATTGCAACCATGATTTTCCCACAGCAGCCGGCCTCAAGAAGCATACGAATGGCCAGAAACACGCAGACCAGGTTAAGAAGAATGAGTTGGGCGTCGACAAGCTTCCAATCAAGTGTGGCGTCTGCGGCAAGACATACGCGCAGCTCCAACTACTTTATAGACACTACCGCGATACCGAGCATGGATACGGGCACCCATTTCAGTCACGCGAGAGGGGAGAGTTCTATTGTGATGAGTGTGGTCAATACTTCCGCTTCAAGTCAAGGTGGTGGGAGAGGGTAGAAGACCCTTTGCAGTCTCTTCAAGCCCCTTACCTAAACTTAGAAGAGGAAAGAAGAGAACAGGAAGCAAATGTATAAACAATAGTCTAAGAATAAATAAAGTAACCTATGTTATTTAGGTAAAGGGGTTACCTTCTGACTGACGTTTGCCTTGATCGGAGAGAACACTGCAAAGGTCATCTTTAGAAAAGTCGTCTTGAAGCGGAAATATTGGCCGCAGTCCTCGCAATGAAACCACCCTCTTGAAGCTGACTTGAGGGGATATCTGATGGCGCCTAAATGGCGGTAAAAAGGTTGACTTTGTTGCACACCAGGCACTTCATCTCGAGTTTCCCCAATCCCGAGCGCACTAATTCGACTTTGTAGCCGCGCTGAGAAGGCACTTTGGTACTTGAAAACATACACTCAGTGAGTTGTGGCTTCTTCCACGGCACGCTCTGACTCGTTTGTCGGCTGTGTGCTGTGTGTCCAGGTGCCTTTCTAGATGTAGGCGTCTCTCTGTCGTCTCTCTTTAACCTCAGATACTTGGGCAAATCTCGATTTCTCGCCCTCTCGCGCCACTTTTTGGGAGCTTGCGTGAAAGCTTGAACAGAATGGTCTTCTCGGTCTTGAGCCGTCGCAAAACGACCATCTTGCCTACATGTCTGGTAGGTCAGGTAACAGAAGGTGGCAAACCTCTCATCGGGTTTATAGGCAAACACTTGCCTAAATATCATAGCTTCTTTTTATTTATTCTTAGACTTTCCTTTATGTATCTTCTGCTTATTCTCTTCTTTCTTCTTCCAAGTTTAGGTAAGACTTTTATAGAGGCTGCGTGATGGGGACTTGGCCACGCAACTCCAAACGCAGGGATGGAAGAGGAGAGCTAGAGCTAAGCCCAGGACACGGAGAGACAATGAAGTTACAAACACTCTCGAAGACAAGGCAGGCTTTGCTGATAACAGGATGAAGATGGAAGAGGATGTTCATCAATGTATACATAAATCATCCTGACGCTGAAACAGTCAAACAGTAAGAATCGTTAGGAAGTTCCAGCGCTTATCACAACACACCACAAGACACCAAGGCCAACCAACGTACAACATCATATTCATTCAATGCCGCCTCAGAGGGCCGCATCTATTAATCATTACTTTCTCGCATGGCTTCTAGCCACTAGATACACATGAACCCATAGTCCCGTCTTTTGTCTATATACAAGCCGCCCAGCCACCCTCCCTTGTGGGGCCTGGCTCAGCTTGGTGCGTCCATCAGAAACACAAAGAGCCTTCAGCGTTACCCAAAGAATTTTCAATCACTTCTCGGGTGTGCAACATCCCTCTAAAGGTCGTGAAATAATTCATTGCTTTCGAGTTTAGGCAGCCTTGTTGCTGGTCTTGCGGGTCATAACCTTGGTGATGGCATGTCGGATCGTCACGCCAGCCTTCTCAATATCCTTCTTGGATAGGGCCGAGGTGATGCAGATTCTCAGGGCGGGCTGGGCATACCACACACCGTCCTTGGGCTTGATGGCATGCGAGAATGGCTGAGTCTTGGTCCTCGTGATCATGACACCGTTGGCGAGCGACTACATTTCAGTTAGCATACATTTGTCATATCTCACAAACAAGGGGACATACCTCTTCCACACAATCCAGGAGGATGCGCTCCTGATCCTCAAGCTCCAGCTTGCGGGCAGCCACAACCTCGGGCTTGAGGGTAACAAGCATGACGGGGTTCTCGGGGGAACTGTTGCAAACAACCCAGTCGCTTCGGGGGTCCAGCTGCGCCTTCATGGCCTTGATGTTCTCACGGCACTGGGTCAGAATATCAGGGTTGGACTGGAGTAGGTTCAGCGTCTCACTGGCGGTGACGGCCAGCATGGCAGGGAGGGCGGCAGAGAAGGTGTAAGAAGAAGAGGTGATGCGCTGATGCTCAACAACATCCTTGGGGCCAGCACAGAAACCACCACCAGCGCAGAGAGGACCAGCAAGAGAGCCGATAATCATGTCAACCTGCTGGGGATCCACGTTCTGGTCCTCAGTGATACCACGACCAGTACGTCCAAGAACACCGAAAGACCAGGTCTCATCGAGAATGACACGGAACTTGTGCTTCTCCTTGAGTTCAACCAGACGAGGCAGATCAATAGAGTCACCAGAAAGCTCAAACAGACCCTCAGTGACAACAAAGCGGCGGGTGAGCTTCTTAGCCTTGGCCTGCTCCTTAACAACAGCCTGCATGACACGCTCCAGATCATCCATGTCGTTGTGCTCGTACCAGCGGATGTTGCTTCGCGACGACTCGAGACCCTTGCGGATGGAAAAGTTGACGTTGCGGTCAGCGATGATGACGTCGCCACGCTTGCAGAAAGAAGGGATGACACTCGAGATGGTGCTAAAGGCCTGGGCGTAGACGATGCAGCCCTCGGTGCCCAGGTAGGCGGCGATGTCGGCCTCGGTCTTCATGTGGACGTCCTGGGTGCCGTAGAACTGGGGGGGTCCGCAGGGGCCGACTCCATAGGTGCGCAGGACCTGAATGGCCTTCTCCTTGATCTGATCGTTGGCGTTGAAGTTGTAGAAGTTGTACGAGGCGAGGTTGGTCACGGTTCGGCCGTTGGAGAGCTTAGACTTGGGGCCCGTAGGACTGTATGTACGCATTAGCATCGAATGCTGCATCATGACGAAGGATAGGAGGTAATGCTCACCCGACGAGAACGGGGAGTCGCTCGGCCTCAGCCACCTCGAAAGGCGTCTGCTCAGCGACAAGAGGCTCAGGAGTCCACTCATCGATCAACTCCTCAATTTCCTACCACGCATTAGCAAGCGAACCCCTTATATCGCCCATCACATCTTTCTTACATCCTCCCTGAGCTTGACAAAGTTCTCCTTGCGCGTCGAGTAGGAAGGCGACAGGAGATAACGGATAAAGTAGAGCAGCAGCACCAACTCAATGGCGGATCGCACGGGGTCGTTCTGGTAGCTCGACTGGATGTAGCGGGTGAGGACAGCAGAGCCGGGCACCTTGTGGAAGTAGACGAGGGCCTTGTCGACGTGCTCGCCGATGCGGGCCTGGAGGGCGTCGAGTTCCATGGCTGCGAATGCCTTACTGGATGATTGAGGAGGATGTGTGTCGGTCGATACAGGGTGATGGAAAAGGAGAGTCGTGCCGTCTTCAATTTCAACGTCGTCGAGATGTCCTCTTCACGTGCGTGGTTGAAAAGTCAAGGTTCGCATTCAAGTGTCGACGATTGATTCTGGCGGTGATGGCTCGACTGTTGCATGGGATTTCCAGGGGCCTCCCGCTAAAAGCCCGTCGGGGGCGTCATTGGCTGCACTGATTGGCCGCTGACATCAATGTCGGCTCGCCCATTAAACAGGGGTCGCTCAGGCACCCGACGCTGCCTCGCTAAGAAATTTGGGGAGCATTTCTGATTCAAAATTGCAAGTGTTTCCATGTTGATCATCAAAAGCATGGGACAGTGCTGGTTGATTATGTTCCAGGTCAGGCTTCAGTGAATCAATGACCCAGTGATGCAGCCTCCATAAGCAAGGCCAATTACAGAGTACACAGTAGCTAATATGCGACGGACGACGTGCACGAGGCAAAGTGCCCTCTCCTTTATGATGATGTTAACATAAAAATATCAAAGACCACCATAAAGTTAGGTAATATTCTAATGAATTTCTATCAATTCTACGATGACCTTTCTCATAACATAAGATAGATTATGGAAGATCAGTAGGTAGTGATCCTCAGTTATGGACGATGCATACAGTCAAAAGTATCATTTAGAGGATGGCCTTTGTTAACCTTGACTGTTATCAAGTTGGAGGCCTTCAACTTGAAACAATGATAACAGGGGCCCAATGTTCCGGATGCCCCGGGAATTAAAGGCCACCCCTGACGTCGGCTTCATCACCCATCACTCACACAGGCCACACATGCCTCAGTCACGGCTAGAAATATTGTTCAACATTATTTGCATTTGCGTCTAAAAATTGCCATGTGTTTTTCCTTTCATAGTACACATTAGAAAGAGGTAAAAAATGCGCCTTCCCTCCAAAAAAGATCTCTCAGCCCAGTTCAGCCAGCGAAAGCTTGGTCTGATTCGTCGTCTCTCCTCATCCTCTGTCTATAAACTTGATCATGTGCGGTGCAGGACCAAAAGGAAGATAACGAAAACATGAACCCCTTGCAATTTCTTTAACTTTCGAAAAACAACAACAACAACAATAGAACCGACGAAAAGACTTGGATGCGCCCATGAATGCATGCAACTCGCTGACAGCCACGCAATCGTGAACCTTGTCCAAAAGCATAGACTCTTGTCTTTTCAAAGGTTGTGTGGTGGGCTCTGTTGCCCCCTTATTCCACCCCTTAAAACAGCTTGATCTTGGCCGTGACCGAGGCTTGGGCACCAGTCGTCTTGGACTTGCCAGCTCCAGTGTAGCCTGCCATTCCAGTACCAGTCTGTGACGTACTGTTGGTGTTGTCGTGCTTGAGATCCGTAGGCTGCACCAGGTTGAAGCCGAGGCCGCCCAGTGACGACGAGATGGTATCTCCTATATACTTGCCGGCAACCACGGGTCCGACAATGAGCGCGATGAACACGATCAGCAGGGTGAAGTAGAGGATGGCATAGCGAATCACGCGTCTGCGGCGAAGCTTGGACTGCTTCATCGAGTAGATAGGAGGTCGAATTTGACGGCTGTTATAATTGTTAGTTTATACACAAGTAAACCATGAGATAGAAACATACCTAGGACGAAGCCAGAACAGCATCATAGAGTGCAGCATGTCGACCTTGGGGATCAAGATGACAGGAGCCATGAAGAAGAGGAGCCAGTGGCCGAGAATAAAGTCGGCTGAGAACATGGACAACTCGGTAATCTTGCAAAGGAATTCTCGGGCAGGCTGAGACATGCTGTGCCATCCCATAGAGTACCACTTTCCGGTCCAGAAGGCGATGTTGGACGTGTCTGACTTGAACTCACGAGTCAGAGCCAAAGACACGATAAGCTTGACAAAGAATCGCTGAATCGCGGTAGCAGCGATCATTCCAGCCATCGTTCGCGAAAAGTTGAAGCCCTCAAGAACGAACATGCCCAGGAATGAGATGAGGAGGAAGATGACTGAGGTGGCATGCGCAATACCAGCAAGGACACTGCCAAACTTCTTGCAGCACATACTAAGCACTGGTCCCATACAGCAGGCCATACCGAACATAGCGGCAAGGACACCTGCGTTAACACCAATGGGAGCGAACGAGATGATGAGCAGGCGAATGAGCGAGTCAGTCGGCTGGATCTTGGTCTTGACATCATCGGGTTGGATCCTGGCCACAACACCAGTCTGGGCGTTGATGAACAGATAGGGAAGAATCGTCACAACAGCCAGCATCAGAGGCGAAAAGATCTCGCTGAAGAAGATGTTAGCAAGCGGAGCTCGTGGGACGTCAGCTGACATCTTGGCTGAAGGGTCGCCCAGAGTCTTGCGCTTGTAACCCGTGATGCGAGTTCGCGAGAGTCGGCAGTACGAGATCCAGGACGAGGCATGGCTTCGCGAGTTACCACGTGAGAGCCAGCGGAGGTAGTCTCGGTAGTCGATGAAGAAATCGTTCCAGGCGAACTGATGGGGGTTGTACAGGAAAGGCGAGATGGTCAGGGCCAGCAGAGTGAGCCAGAAGTAGATGAGAACGCCCTTCCAAACCGTGAGCGTCGCAAAGAGAAGCATCATTAGAAGTCGGGCTCCAAAGTAGATAGCAGGGCCTGCGAATCGAGAGTAGAGAACACCAAAGGGAATTCGAGCTGTGGCGAAACCACGACCGGTACCAATGTATCGCGCACCACCAAACGAAACGTTCTGCTGCACAGAGTTCGCGTAGATCTGACAGACGAAAACTTCGAACATGAGAGAGAGCGACGAGAACTGCTTGGTGAGACGGAGAGCAGCGCGCCAAGCACCACGTTCCATGCACTCCTGGACGATAAGCGGGATGAAGGAGAGAATCAGGACGAAAAGAATCGAGACAACGCAGCGGTAGATCCAGTCCGTGAGCGCATCAGTGTTGGCACAACCAGTTGGGAAGAGGGGGTCGGTGATGGGCACGTCTCGGTTGTAGTTGCAAGGAATGGTCTCGTGGCGGAGGGCTCCCAGGTTGACAAGAGTAATCATGAACATCTGAACCGAGAACATAATGAACATATTGTTCAGATGGAAACCAGGATGGGCGTAGTAGAAGGAGAGGAAACGATCCAGAGGAAGCTGAGTGCCGAGGTAATAGTACTCGCGAGACAAGAACTGTTCACCCATACCCGTGCCGATCTTGGTTGTGAAGTTGAGGACGGAACCGAAACCCAAATCACGACCCTTACCACACTGGAAGTACTCGCACTGCTTGATACGTCCTCCGCGGAGGAGGGCTGTCATACCGGCGTAAATATCCTCGTTAAGATGCAGACCCTTCTGAGCCTTGGAAACACCACCACGCGTCGTCATGAAAACACCGTTGAGGAAATCGGGATGTCCGTAATGCAGCTTGCCACCAATCTGAGCCATGGTTCGAGCAAAGAGAGTACCGAATGTCTGTTCCTTTCCGGCAGCAATGTCACCAAGAATACCAATGTTCTCCGAGAAAATGTACTCGCGAGCACCGAGGATAGCAACGGGAGATCGGACTTCGTTCTTGACACCAGGGGTATAGGGGGAAACATTGTCGGTCTTCATCTCCTCGAACTCGGCGAGAACGCTGCGAATCTTCAGACACTCCTCAAGATAGTTGTCCTGGTTGGCGTCGATAAGCTGGATGTACTCGCCACGGTAGAAGATGATGGAGTGGTTCTGGTTGTCGGACTTTCCGTCACCGAGAATGGGGTTACCAGAGAGCTGAACACGGAACTTGGGTCGACGCATGCCGTTCTCCATGATCTCAGAATGGCCATCGACCAAAACGGAGTAGAGCTTGGGCTCCTCGCCTTCGGCGGTGGGGGCCTCCTCGTCCAGGTAGGCAATCTGAAGGTCGGGGTAAGCGCGGAGAAGGAATTCGGCGTTCTCCATTTCCTCCTTCTTGAACTTGGAGTATCGCTGCATAGAGACGACAATCTTGAACTTGCGGCGGGCCATTCGCTCGAGCTCGCGCTCAAGCTTATCCGTGTTGCCTCCGAACATCTGAACAACCTCGGGGTTCTCAACGCGGTAGAGAAGCTTGATGGCACGGCTGTAGTTCATGAAACCAGAGATGGTACGGTACAGAGTCTGGAAGCGGAGAGAGGCCCAGATACGGGTGCGGAGAGTGTACTCAGGAGCCGAAGACTTGAAACCAATGCAGTAAAAGGGAAGGTCGTCAATCTTGCTCTTGGCTGTGTCCTTCTCGCCCTTGTCGTTCTCGTCGCCGTTGTACTGCGAGGTCTCGTCGGCAAGAATCTTGGTGTCCTTGACAAAGCAATCCCACTCGTGAGGGTGAAGCTGCTTGAGGTACTCAAGGAGGGTGACACGAGAGTAGGGCTCATCCTCGCGAATAATCTCACGGAGCGACAGGAGAATCTTCTCGCTGTAGTGGGGAATCATGACAGTGAAGGTGGGCATGTTGTCAACTGGAACGGGCTCTGGCATGGGGGTGGACAGAGACTGGGCGAAGAAGGAGATTCGGCGCTCAGCTTCGCTGTAGCTAGGGAAGAACTCGGTCTTGAAGGAGTGATCTTCCTGCGAGACGAAGAAGGTGGGAGCACGAAGAGTTCGCTTGCCCTCCTGCTCCGAAGGAACCTGGTGGTAAAGCAGCTTCTGGACGTGGTCGATGGCCAAGAGATGCTCGCGGTACATGGAGATGACGATAGCGTTCCAGATCTGCGAGATGAGAACCTTGGGCTTGTACTTGATCTCCATGTCGGTTGTGGCGAGGACCTTGGAGTAGATACGCTTGGGCAGGCGAGAGAAGATGTTCCTCCAGGGAGTCCAGATAGAAGAACCGATGTAGAAAGAGCGGGCAACCGACATGAGCGTGTTGAGCAACACATACCACAGATAGGTATCGAGGAAGAAGAAGATGACGTCGGTGAAAGCCATCAGAGCCAAGACAATGGTGGGATGCCACTTGCAAAGTTCACCCTTCAACAGTAGGTTGTCGCCCAGGCAGCTGTCGACGTTCATGATGGCCAGATATCGGACAGGATCACGGAAAGACAGAATCAGATAAGTGTACGAGACACCCATC